CCAGAGTGGGTCTTACACTCACAAGGACAACTCAGCAACCTGGAGAACAGGCTGCAGGCAGGAGGCTGGGCACGGAGGGCACTGGCCTCTGAGGGTCACAGCCCGTTATGGAACGGAACTGTGATCCTTCCAACCTGGGAGGGAGGTTGTGAACATACCTTTTTATTCCCCCTCCACACCCTTCCAGTCTCAGTGGGACAGCAGGTGACAGAAACAAAACCACAGGGCTGAGGAACGCTCGGCTGGCCAGGGGCATCTGGTCATGTCTGAGATCTATGCGGTCGGCACGGTTACCAGGCTACTACTGGCTCAACACCCTCCAATGCCCAGGACAGCTCCCACAAAGAGCCCTCCAGCCCCAAATGCCCACAGTGCTGAGGCTGACAGCCCCGTCTCCCAGAGCTCGGAGCCCCATCTGGGCACTCGGATGTTCTGGAGTCTTTTTCTAGAAAAGTACGCAGGGCAACCTCAAGGCAGATTTGTTGGGAGTGGGCTCTGTTTTGGACCAGACAGGCATGGCCTCATTCAGAGCCACCCAGCGATTCTAGGACAAAAAGAACACACGGGGGCACAGGTGCTCCTCACCCCGCCCCAGCCCGTGCTCTGCCCCGAGGAACCAGGACAGGCGGCTTCCCAGGCAGGAGCGCTCACTAGCTCCTCCCACCTGCGACGCAATAGTGTGCGGGGAGCGGCAGCTTTTCCTGGGCCTCGTTGCCAGCAGGCAGGGACGGAGAGCTGGGCAGGGGTCAGCTGCCAAGTTCATAGGAACCATCTGAGTTGAGTCCTTGGGAGGCAGCGCCCTCCCTCAGACTGTCACATCTCAGTTTCCTCCATCCCCGCTGCTGGCCTGTCATTCTTGAGCCAAACGGGGCATTTGGGTGTAGGAGGCATGGCAAGGGGGGAGGGAGGGTAAGGCAGAGCATACGAACAGGTCGGATGGGGTGCTCAGGTTAGGGTTTCTCTCTCTGGTTCCCTGCAGGCGTCTCATTAGCTGGCGGATTCAGACAGAAGGCTCTGTGGACAAGGCGGCACGGTGACATTCGGGAGATAGAGGCAGTGGGGGTGGAAATATACAGATAAACACGACCGGCTGAAAACAAAACCTCAAGGCCGCGGGCTTCCTAACGGCGGTGCTGAGGGCGAAGGAGCCAGGCATCTGGCCTGCCCGTTCTGGCAGGACCCAAGTGCCCCGTGATCTCGGTCAGAAAATCTCATGTGCTTTGGACTTAGAGCAAACCTGACTCTTTTTGGAGCCCCACGCAGGTGGCTGGCAAAAAAGCGCTCTGCTCTGAGGCCAAGGTCTCCTGGCCAGGGGCAGTTCGCTGTGCAGCCGAGCCCGGCTGGCCCTGGGAGGATCGACCGTGTGGACTTGGGGAGAAGCTGGCTTTCCCACCCGCACCCCACACTCGTCTTCCTCGGGAGGGGGGGGGAGGAAGGGGGGAGAGTAGGGGAGGGGGGGCGCCTGTCTCACCTCCCGAGCCCTGTCGCAGCTGAGAGGCCAGAATCCCAGCGTTCCTGTTTGTTGTCATCTTTCAGGACGAAGTATCCAGGTCCTGTTGACTCAACCCCTGTAACCTCTTGTATCACAGTATGTTTCTCTCCTCTTTCCAGCCTTTGTTCCTGCGATCACCTGCCCAGAGGTCAACAGGCCGGCCCTCCGTGCTCTGTGCTACAGCCAGAACATTCTTTTCCAGGTTTAACTCCAGTCACCACCTTATTCTTCCCTTTTAAAGACATTCTTAAGGACTCCCATTGCCTACCAAATACTAGTGAAGTCAAAATTCCTTAACATGCCACTCCCCCCTCCCCACCGCCTGGTCCTGCCCATCTTCCCAGCGTCTCTCTTGCCATTCCCACCCTCCTCAGCCTTCCAAAGCTGGTACCTCTGACACCATCCCCCACTTCCCCTACATGCCCCGCCCCGTGCTTGTCTTTGCTCTCACCCTTCCTACTTTGTGGCACACGTGTCTCCCAAACTTCCTGGTGGAATCCAGCCACTTCTCGAACCCCAGCCACTTATGTTGATTCTAAGAATCGCATATCTGCATACTGATTCTACCCATCTATAAAAGGGAACTGTGTTCTGCTCTGTGCACCGTACCACGCCTTTTGCATTCTGGAGAAGCAAGCATGTTATAGATTAAGTGAAAAAAACTAGACGTGACCTCTTACAGTGGGTCAGGGGCTGTAACCGGGCACCTTAGGGGCAGTATCTCATGTAATACACCTTGTCCTACAGGTGACCATGCAGACTCAGAAAGGTGAGTAATACGCCAGCCACAGGCGTCTGTGGAGATGAAATCTACAAGTAAACATGGCCAGTTAACAACAAGAGGGCATGAACTCAGGCCAGCTCCCAAACTCACGTGGGTGGTCTGACGCCTTCTGCCCCAAGGAAAGCTGCCTGGGTCCCACTGCATAGAAACCAGGTGCGGGGAGTAGGCTCTTAGTGATGACAGGAACGCGTGACTGCTCAGGGGATGACCCATTCCTCCTGCCGAACTCACTTCTGTCTAGAGTTTTGTTTACATGGGGTTGGAGTTACTGCAGGCCAACTCAATGGGGAGAGGGAATCAGAGGTTTGTAAACTAGGGGACCCTCAAATGCCCAGCCAACCCTACTTTTGCTCACCTCTTGCTAAACCAAACTTTTGGTTACTGGGACTGAGCTAAAACCCGCCACAAGAGGGCAGCATTTACACACCTGGATCAGAGCTGAACCCTCTAGGACTCCACTTGCCATCCCTTGAAAGGCTCATTACAGCCAAGTTTTTGGTGTCAGGGATTCTGACAAAGGAGAGAAACAGATCAGTCTGGTCCCCTGTCTGCGAGCTAGGAGCTGTGAAGCAGCTGTGTTGCAGTGGAAAGCAGTTTACTTAAAAAAAAAAAAATCCTTCTGGGAAGAAAGATGAATCCTGGTTATCTAATCATTCCCTTGGACTCCCCGATAAAACAAGAGGAGTTTCCCTTCATCTGCCTCTTCCCCAAGGACGCGGACAGAGAGGAAGGCACCTGCAGAGTGCTCACAAGTGTTTATTGGCGATGGAAAAGCGTTCGTGCAGAAAGCTCAATTTGATGGAGGTTGGACACATTCCCCGGGGAGCGAGTGACATTGTAGGCGGCATCACCAACAAGCTCACGGGGTTGGGAAGCTGCAGGGGACAGATCTGTCTGCAGAAGAGACGGGTTTATGAGGGGCTTCCCTCCAGGCTAGAAAGGGTCGGGGAGCATGCTGAGCGTTTGGTCTCAATGCCCTCGGAAGTCTGAGCGAGAGAAAACAGGACTCAAGGAAGGCGGGAGGCCCTGACTCTGTCCCCGCCAGGGCACCAGGGGGAGCTCCCAGGGAGGAGGACAAAGACCAGACATAATTTGCCCTTTGACTTAGTCTTGGAGGCTGTCCTCCCCAATACCTCCTTGGCACCCCCATTCTAAGGCCTTTCCAAAGAGGCCAGGGCACTTTCTCTTTGGTACCCCCTCTTTCCCAGAAAAAGCCACACATGGAGAGGCGCATGGAGAAAGAAATGCCCACTGTGCAGAAGACACTGTCTTTCTGTGACAAAACCACACAGAAGGATGGGCCTGGCCCAGCGTTTCCCTCCCAACCCCGGGGCCCAGAGCAGACCCAGAGCCAGTCCCCTGGGGTGGGCACAGGGGCTTTTGGGCTCTCTCTGGTGGGCGCTGCCCGCATTGATGGGCAGCACTCCCATGCCTCCATTGCCATTGATTCTGAGAAGGTAAAATGTAACGGCTTGCCAGCCAGGGAGAACCTGTACCAGCTCTGATTCCTGCTAACGACTCTGCTGCCCATTTAAAAAGGAATCTGTCGAGGACAGGACAATTTACTTGTCACCGTTTTTAGCAGGCTAAACATGGGGGGTGCCTTGTAGAAGGCCTACAGCACAGAGGCTGGGCCCTTTCCACCTGGGCTGCAGGCCTGCAGAGGGAGCCATGGGGCGCCCCTACCCAACCTGATCAGCCCTAACTGGCTTCCGGGTTTTTACTCTGAGGGCGAAGCAGCAAGCCCTACTTGGGGGAATAAAAACAAAAGGATGACACTTCCTTAATCTCGTTTCCAGTCTTCACAACTTTAAAGGATCCATTCATACTTCTTAATTTTAGAGCATTACAACAAGGGGTACCTCGGACCAGAGACTTGTCCAGAGTCAGGGGGTGGCAAAGATGTCCAGCCCGTTCCTTGGACAGCACTGCTCTGGCCTTGTGGGTGGGCTGCTCTGGGAGGGTTTGGGGTGGAGAGGCTGGGGGGAGGGTTACCCAATCCAATAGATGGGTGTTTCCCAGCCATGGCTCCCTCGGGGTGCAAGAATCTAAATGCATTTAGTTCTCCGATTCCCCCTTTCGTTGGAGATTTTCCCCTAAACCATCACATGCCCTCTCCGTGCCCGGACTCTTTATTTCCGGGACCATTAGGGTGCTTCCAAGTGCTACAGGGACCCAGGCGTAGTCCCTCAGTTAAGGACGTATGAGCAGCCAACGCAGGCTGGGCCGGGTTCTCGGCCCCCGGGGTCTGCAGGCAACATGCTCACTTGGACAATCACATGTGCGCACACACGCACGAACAGACATAATCATAAAAGGTAGGTGAGACTTCAGCAGCTGCTAGACTGGCTCAGAAAACTCTTCCGTGTGATCCCTCTCCCGGGGACCCCCAAAAACGAGCTCTGTCGTGAGGGCCACACCTCCCAGGGCCTCCATACGCCTCGGACTTGTCCTTGCGGGAGGAGGGCGGGCAGTGCCGTGAGAGCCGCTGAGGAGCGTAGAGGCATTGCATTGCAGCAGGAAAACTCAGGAGGAAACCCAAGGACACACGGAGCGGTGAGAACCAGGAGAGGGAAGCCAGGACAGGCAGTGACAGGACGAGGCAGAGAGGGGCCACGCGGGTCCTGTGGGAAAGTCAGCGGTGTCCACGCTTATGGGACCTGCCGCCACCCTTGCCGGAGCGCATGGGCGGGCCTCCTGCTGTCCGTCGGGAAGAGCATCCGCTCAGGAGCTAAAAACCCTGTGGGAGAAGATTGAGGAGGGAGTTAGTGTCAAAGGCCAGGCTGCTTTGTCCTTAAAGATATTGGGGGGAGGGGGGAAGAGAGAAGAAGGGGGTGAGGGGGAGGCTAGGCAGAAAAAAAGGAGACATATGTACTATTTGTAATCCCTTAAACAATAAAAAAAATTTAAAAAGATATGGGGGACAGCCACCTACACTCTGCATGGGCCTGCCTTGCTCTCGCTGCCTGCCCTGGCACCCAGCTGGGACCTGCAAGGAGTGACCGCAGGAATGAGTGAACGCTGGCTCCCAACACAACGGCCAGGAAGAGGGGCCTTTAAAGCGGCTCAGTGACAGCCAAAGGCGCTGTGGTCACAGCAATAACGTGAGCCTCCTGGACACACGAGTGTGTGTTCGAGACGGCTGGTGCAGGGGAGACCATGAGGGTATGTGAGAGACAGAGCGTGTGCCCTCTGCTACTCTAAATGAGACGGCTCCATTGCCACCGAAGGGGAAGGGCCCAGGTGGGGTGGCAAGGTGGTCTGGGGCAGGGAAAGGGGGCCTGAGGTTATAGTCAGGGCTGGTGTGTCAGGGCACTGCGGTCAGCCTAAAACAGTGAGACTCAATCCCAGCCTTGTGGTGCCCCAGACGGTTTCCAGCAATTTCTAAGGGAAGATGAAGCTGTCAAAATAATGCCAACTGGAATGTGCATCAATGAGAGCATTCCCAGCAGTTCTGGGGAGTGAGAGACATGGCGTGAACCCCCAGACAACGTTGCAGAGCCCCGAGCTGTCATTCCACTAGGGGGTGCCCTGGGCAGAAGCTGGGGTTCCTACACTTGAGGGCACAGAGCCTCCCAGAGGAACCACTGCACCAAGAGGTCTAGCCTGGAAGGTGCATTTCTAACCCGCTCCCAGGGACCCCTCGGAGGGAAAGCCCCGTTAATGAGGTCAGACGTCCCTGCCCATCAGCACCCAGAAGAGGGCTCTGCACCCCCTTGCCGGGGACCGGGCCAGCTTACTCGTCGGTGTCCTTTTTGCTCCCCTCAATGAAGGCAATGGATTCAGATCTAAGGCGGTTGGTCACTTCATACGTTCGCAGGGTGACCCCAAAGATATCCTCATGGTAGCGGTTGTCATCCTAGGGAACGGAAACAGGAAACAGCCTTGAGGCCAGCCCAGGGCACAGAGAGGCAGGAACGCTGACACCAACATGAACTCTCCCTAAAGAAAACGAGCCCAAAAGAAACAAGGTGCCCCAGCGCCCCCGGAGTGCCCTGGGCCTCCAAGACTGTTGGAGTAGGACCCGCTGCCCCCCAGGCACGGGGTCTCTCCAGCCCAGATGACAAGCACCTGGGTCCGTTCAGGAACAAGCTGCTGCTCTGTGGGTTCTGAGGACAGGAGGGGAGGTTGAACAGGAGCCTCGGCACCCTCCTGCTCTCTCCAGTGATCTGCCCGCTGCTGCCGTCACACACCACAGTCCCCGCCATATTCAACCTGCCCCCTGCACGCCGGCCTCCTTCCTCCTCTCAGGGGGCTGGGACACCTCCATCCTCTACCTGAGCCAGAGATGGCAAAGTGGGAGAGGGATGTCCTTATGGCTCCCCAGGCTGAGACAGGTGGGGTGAGGAAGAGGAAACAAGACCCCACCCCGGGTGCCGGGAAGGGAAGCACCACTCACCCTCAGGCGGCTGATGAACACGCCAGCGTCCTCCACCGAGAGCTGCCCCTGCTGCGCCACGATGCGCTGGACGGCCTTGAGGACATCGGCGGCCATGGTGACGTCCCCGCACACGTAAATGTGGCCCCCTTGCTCCTTCAGGGCTTGGTACACAGGTTCCGCCAGCTTCTCCTGCAGGATGTCCTGCACGTACTTCTGTGGGGAACAGAGGCTGCGTGAGCCCAGGGAGCAGAGCCCCAAGGGGCTTGTGGGCAGGGGGTATATCTGAGGTCTCAGGAGAGGGAAGCTGGGAGGAGGAAAGCCAACCCAAGGCTGTGGGAAAGAGCGGCTGCCCACTTTGGACTTTGCTCTTCGGAGGCCCCAGAACATCTCCTGGAGGGGCATTAAAGGGGAGCATCTACCTGCTCCTCTCTCCATCCATCAGGGGTCCCCTGCGAGGTTTGGATACATACACTTGTCAGAGCAGATTATATATATTATTGATTTCAGAGGAAGGAAGAGGGAGTGAGAGATTGAAACATTAATGATGAGAGAGAATCACTGATCGGCTGGTTGCCTCCTGCATGCCCCCTACTGGGGATCAAGCCCACAACCCGGGCATGTGCCCTGATTGGAATTGAACCATGACCTCACTGAGCCACGATGGCCTGGCAGGAGTGGGGTTCTGACAGGTGTCCTATGCTGACGTGTCAGAGCAGCCCCAGGCAGACAGCAAGAGGTGGGGACAGGTGAGGGCTGCCAGGCCGCCTGTGCAAAGCCAGCTGCTGTAGCTGGAGCAAGAAGTGGGCTAAGGGAATGTGAGGGGGACACCCGGGGGGTTTGCTTTAGCCTCCAAGACGTTTGTCTAGCTTGTTCCAATGCCTCTGGCCTAGGAAACTCCCCTCGGCCGAGGCTGACATTCAGCTGTTCGCTCTGGCTTGGCTGTCCTGATGCTGATGTACTTCTACAGCAGCTGTCAAATGGCCACGGCCCAGATTCTCTGAGTTCCCCCTCATCCCAGCTGTCTTGGCCTCCTTCCTGGGACCCCTCCTCCCCCGGCCTACCCCAGATCCTGCAGGAGCATGCTCCAGGCCTGTGGCCCTTTCCATTTGGAATGGTAGAGTCCCCCCCCCCCCCCGCCTCTTTCTCTCTCTAAAAAATATATATATATATATATAATTAATTTTTTACGGAGAGGAAGAGAGAGCGATAGTTACAAACATCGATGGGAGAGAAACATCGATCAGCTGCCTCCTGCACACCCCCTGTTGAGGATGTGTCCACAACCAAAGTACATGCCTTTGACAGGACCGAACCTGGGACCCTTCTGTCCACAGGTTGGCTCTCTATCCACTGAGCCAAACCAGTCAGGGCATGGTACGGTCTCTTATGGGCCATTAAATATTTCCTTAAAATTCACATCGAATGTTTTCCTGGCTGAGGTGGGGCGTGACCGAGCAGGGCTACCTTTGGCTTGTCTGGCTCCCGAGAGTAGGCCGTGTACAGTTCTCCGAAGACCCCCGCGCTCCGGGCCTGCAGGGTCTCCTCCCTGTAGATGTGGTCCACCTTGGACTGCCGGCACCCAAAGACCAGGATCATGGGGCAGGGACTCATTCCTGGGGACCAGAAGACCTCATGTCACCCACAGCCTGATGCCTGATTTGAGGGGTGGCTGGGGTTGGGTACTGGGGACCCCAGCAGATGCCATATAGCTAGAGGGACATGAACACAGGGGCAGGACACACACACACACACACACCCCACACACAGAGGCAGGCAAAGTGTGCTCAGACTTTGGCAAACCTCCCTTCTCTGGGTCTCAATCTTCCCTCCTGACCCCGTGGGAAGGGCTCAGAAACCAGACTTTGGAGCTACACAGCCTGGGTTCCAATCCCAGCTGTCTGACAACAAACTTGTTTAGTTTTCTGTCTCCATTCCCCCAGGTACAAAACAGGAATAACAACAGCAACTACCTGATAGGGTTATTGATAGACCTGAATGTCAAACATCAGAATGGTGCCTGGTGCAAATCAAATGTTAGCGAGGCTACGTGAGTGACAGCTCCATAAGGGCAGGGCGTTTCCAAGTTGTTTATGTCTTGTTCACTGGTATGCCTCCAGTGCCTACAGCAGTGTTGGCATTTATTAGATGTTCAATAAATCCCTGTATAGCACCAGCACTGTGGCTCTCTGCTCCCAAAGCTGATTTGTGTGTGTCCCACACAGCAAAGCCTGCCCTTGAATATGAGCCTCTGAGAGAATCCCATCAACATCCCAACTGAGAAGGCTACATGTTGACCCTTCCAGGGCTGCCTGAATGGTGGGAGGGTCCAGTCTTAACCGTCCAAGGAGGGTGGGACCAACCACAAGCTGAGGGAAGATGTGTTTGGACAGGTCCTATGAACGGCACCAGGGTCGGAGCGAGGCTCCCCAGCCTCCCCAGGTGGCGAGGCTCTGGAGGAAGAATGGTCACGCCTCTCCTGAGACCCTGTGGCCGTCCCTGGGCCGAGGGTAGACCCCCTGTGGGGCTGGGCCAGAACCCACCTTTGTGTTGGATATCAAATTGCCGCTGCTGCCAGAAGCTTCGGAAAGGGGCAATGCCGGTGCCCGGGCCAATCAGGATGCAGGGCACTTGGGGGTTTTTGGGCAGGTGGAAGCCGGGCGCTCTGGACAAGGAAGAGAAGATCAGGAGGCTTGCTGGGTCAACTGTGACTAAGAATAGCTAGGTCACTCTGGCCAGTGCACTCTGGCTAGAATGCCGGCACGCATACCGAAGGATCATGGGTTCAAGTCCTGGTCAGGTACCTGGATTGAAGGTTGATCCCCGACCCTGGTTGTGGTGTGTGTGTGAGGCAACCAATCAGTGTATGTGTGTGTGTGTGTGTGTGTGTGTGTGTGTGTTTCCCTTTTCCCTTTCACTCTCTTAAAATAAATCAATGGAAAAAATATCCTTGGATGAGAATTAAAACCCGTTAACCGAGCGGGACCTATAAATACGTCAAACGTAAACAATATCGGGAACGGGTAGGACGTATGAATACGTCCTTGAAATATATGTTGCGCCCTGAGAGGGATGGTATGTATTTTTTGTAATCTTTTTTTTTTAAATATTTTATTGATTTTTTACAGAGAGGAAGGAAAGGGGAGGGATAGAGAGTTAGAAATATTGATGAGATGAGAGAGAAACATCGATCAGCTGCCTCTTGCACACTCCCCACTGAGGATGTGCAGGCAATCAAGGTACATGCCCTTGACCGGAATCGAACCCGGGACCTTTAGGTCTGAAGGCCGACGCTCTATCCACTGAGCCAAACCGGTTTCGACTATTTTTTGTAATCTTTATCATTGTTTGTAAAATTTATAATTTTTTAATTCGACGTGTCCATTTTTTTTTGTCGGTATTCTTTTCTACTTTTTTTTGTAATTTTGTATTTTCCTTTGTGCTTTATATATATAAATAAACATAAATATATATATATATTTCATTTATTTTCATTAAGTATAAATAAAAAAAATAATATGAAATTATGTCCTCCGGGCGTGACGTACTGACACGTCCTAGTGAAAGAGTACGCGCCCGTTACAGGTTGCCTCATTAAAAAGGGAACTCCCCGGTTACCAGGTTAACAATAACAAAGAATAGTTGAGTCTTAGGGAGACCAGGGCCCATCTTGGGTAGAATACAGTGGGATCTACAGCTCTTCAGCCTGGCCCCTCGTACCACCAGCTCTAGGGGACTAAAGAACCACCTGGGGGTGTTAAAAGGGGTGCAGGTTTCTGAGGAGTCAGTCTGGGCTAGGATTCATATTCTCTCTCTCTCTCTCTCTCTCTCTCTCTCTCTCTCTCTCTCTCATTATCCTCACCTGAGGATATTTTCCCATTGATTTTTAGAGGGAGTATAAGGAAGCGGGGTGGGGGTGTAGAGACAGAAACACAGATTGATTGGCTCCTGCACAGGCCCCAACCAGGGCTAAGGATGGACTCTGCCTGTCCTTGACTGGAATCTAGTCTGCAGGCCGGCGCTCTATCCACTGAACAAACCGGCCAGGGCTAGGGCTCTGTTTCTGAAGCCACTGGAGGCATGTGGACCAGCCCATGAACAGCTGAGCAAAGTGGCAGGCCAAGGTCACTGTTCAGGCAGAGATGTTATTGATTGACAAAGCAGACCCTTACAATGGGCCTAAGCTCAGGCGTGTCCTTTGTAAATTTTTTTAAAGCAATATTTTTTTATTTGGTTGACTGTGATAAGAACACATAACATGAAAGCTGCCCTCTTAACAAAATTTTAAGTGCACAATGTGGTACTGTAACCATAGGCAGGAATATCCTTTACAGCAGAGTTTGGGAGGAAGGCTCTGATTGGTGGTAGTGAAAGATGCTCGAATCTCCTGTTTCTAAGGATCTGGGGACAGCAGGGTGTCCTTTAGGATGTGAATAGAGCCTCCCCAGGTCTGCAAATGCCATGGAGGCTGAGCCTGCACTAGGCTCTCCTGCAGCCTCCGCACCAAGCTGAGGACATGCACTGGATACATGCCCGCTGCGCTGACTTGCCCAGACTAGAGGGCTGTCTTAGCTTCTGCTGGTCCTGTCTCGGGATCCCGCTGCCTTAACAGCTTGGAGGGATGCGGAAAGCTGAGCGCATCTAATCCAGCCGTCTCTCTAGAACTCTTTGGGCTGGTCCACCCACCCAGCTCGGGAGAGCAGCATGCAGACTGGGGTGGCTGCTCATTTCTCTTCCTTTGACTCACCCTCTCACGAAACAGGGGACCACGTCGTCAGACTGGATCTGGTTGAGCCAGGAGGAGCACACGCCGTGGTGAACTGGTCCTTCTCCATCTAGCAGAATAAACAGGTGGCCTGGCTCACTCCTGTCCCCAAGCTTCCCGGCACTGGCACCCCCTTCAGTCCTGAAGGCCCCCAGCCCCAATGCCAAGTTTCTGCCTTGGAGCTCCTTGTTGGATCCCTTCCTCTGACGGGGAGGAAGAGGTGGCATAGCTGGAGGGAGCCTGTGAGCTGTGAAAGTGCCCAGGGTGCTGTGGGGGAGGGGGAGCTGGATTCAAATCCCACCACTGGAAGGGCTTTGGTCAGTTTTCCCTATGGGCTGCACTTTGATTGCTTGATCAAGGAAGGGAAGTGGGGAGAAAAGTGTCCCGTTAGCTGACTGACTTGGGACCAGCAGGGCACCTGCAGCGGAGCGCCCCCCCCCCCCAAGGAAAGGTGTGGTTCGAGCTGCCGCAGGGAGTTGGTTCTGCCTAAGGGGACAGGGTGCCTGCTCTGCTTCTTCCCCCCGTTTCCTGGCCGTGGGCATTGGTCTCCAGCTAGGGACTTGGGATTTGGCAGAACTGCCGGGGCCCGGGCGGGAGAGTGCAGACCCAGAGGCCCCTCAGCACCTCTGCCCACCTCCAGTGCGGTAAGAGACGATGGCCACAGTGAGGTGCACCTCCTCGGGGTACATGTCCGGGGAGGAGCTGATGGAGTAGTAACGAGGCTGCAGAAGGGACAGCTGGGTCAGGAGCAGGGTGGCGGGCATCTGGATGGACGGGAACTCCTGCAGCACCTCCACGATGGTGGGGTTCTTGTTCCATTTCCATTCCTCGTACTCCTGCAAGCCCTGCGCCAAGGAGAGGGACAGAGGAGAACTCGCACTCAGCTCCAGGTACAGATTTCCACTGGGGGCTCCAGCGGGCCAGGGAAAAAGGCAGATAAAAGCAAGAATAGCCCGGCCGGCTGGTTCGGTGATTGAGCGTCGACCTATGAGCCAGGCGGTCACAGTTCGATTCCCAGTCAGGGCACATGCCTGGGTTTCGGGCTCGATCCCCAGTGAGGTGTGTGCAAGAGGCAGCCAATCCATGATTTTTTCATCCTGGATGTTTCTATCTCTCTCTCCCTCTCCCTTCCTCTCTGAAATGAAAATAAATAAATAAATAAATAAATGAATAAATAAATAAATAAATAAATAAAATCACTAACACTTAACATTGTCAATACTCTGTGTCATATTTTAACTCTCACTCAGACCTGATGAATTAGGTATGATTGTTATACCCATTTCATAGATGAGGAAACTAAGGGATATAGAGGTGCCATGGCTGACCAGGTGGTGATTCTGGGTTTTGAATCTAGGTCAGGGGGTGAAACTTCAGCCTTCAAACCAAATCTGGTTAATCCCTTTTGTCCTTTACATGGTTTGAGGGAAACATCTGAAGAATACTATTTTATGACCTAAGACTTTATATAATAAAAGGCTAATATGCTAATCGACCCAATGACTGGTTGCTGTGATGCATACTGACCACCAGGGGGCAGACGCTCACGGTCAGTGCACTTCCATAGGGGGAGCGCTGCTCAGCCAGAAGCTGGCCTTCCAGCTGCGAGCGCAGCAGCAGTGGTGGTGGGCTCCAAGGATGTCTGACTGACAGCTTAGCACGGCTCACCCAAGGGCTTCCAGATTGCCAGAGGGTGCAACTGGGCTGAGGGGACACCCCTGCACCCCAGCACACGAATCTCATGCACTGGGCCTCAAGTATGATATTAAATTCAAAATAGAATATTATTTTATGACCAAAGATATGATATAAAAAATCAAATTTCAAGTTCAAAAATCCATGAATAAGGTGGGATTGGAAGCCAATCATACCCACTCACTTATGTATTGTCTAGGCTGTTGACTACAAGAGCAAAGCTGAGTAGTTGCCAGAGACCAAAAGGACTGTGAACCTCAAATATTTACTAGCTGGCCCTTTACAGGGAAAATGTGTGGAGCCTTACCCTCGATAGTCTGGCCCAGGATCTAGGCTCTTGACCTCCACACTGTCCTGCAGTATGTGAAGATCAAAAGAGAGGCATCATGGAGGGAGTCATGACTCCCAGGTATAGAATGCTAATGGGCAATCTGTGGGTTTGCAAGGATACAGGTGCACCTGCAGAGAGCATGCTCAGATGGTAAATGACAGTCCGGAAGGAACAGATCAGGGGGTGGGGAACCGTGTTCAGGGCAGGATGACAAGAAAGCCCACCTGTGACTAGGGAACAGAGGGGTTCTCTGAGCTCTGGAGTGATCCTTCCCACTGGATCTCAGAAGCTGCCCTGGCAGTCCTTTTTTGGACTTAGGAGGTTCAGATTTTGAGGAGGGAAAGGCCATTCCTGTGCGTTGACTAATAAAGCCTTTTCCCACTTCTCTAGAAACCATCCTTGGGTTATTGAAGGGGTGTGGCATCAGTGAGGATGTGCCTCCCAGACCTTCAGTGACCTTCAACTGCCAAGAGTCCCAGCATGACCACCGGTGCTGGCCTTGCCTTAGAATGCCTGTGTGACCCAGGACCCGTCCATTCAACCTCCTCTCCTCTCCTTCACTTGAGGTCAGACTTGTTTTGATGTCTGATAGTTCTCTCAGACTTATCTAACTCCCTTTCCATTTTCTCTCACCCAGGTCTTTCCCCTAATAAAAATCCTTGTTCATTTAATCTTATAGTTTATGCTCTTTGGAAAGAAATAAAAATACAGTTACATCCAATTCTACTTTAAATAATCCTATTGTCTGACCAGCCAGGCTGGGAGTTGAATATCAACCTATGAACCAGGAGGTCACGGTTCGATTCCCAGTCAGGGCACAGGCATGCGGACTAGATCCTTAGTGTGGAGTGTGCAGGAGGCAGCCGACCAATGATTCTCTCTCATCACTGATGTTTCTCTCCTTCTCTCTCCCTCTCCCTTCCACTCTGAAATAAAAATGTATTAAAAACATATTTTTAAATCCTGTGGAAGCAGAGCAAGTTCTGGTTCCTCTTATTAGTCACCCTTCCCATTAACTTAAACATTTTAATCAAAGTTATACACGGACAGTTTAAAAAGTTAAATAATTCTGGAAAACTCATGAGGAAAAGAATGCCCTTCCACCTCTCCAATCTGCCTCTGGCTCCCCAGAGGCGTTTCTTCTGCTGTTTACGCATCTATTTCTAAGTCACGTTCACCCCTTGGATCGGACTCTGCCTTGCGGACCATCATCAATCCCCTCTCTGGGACAGCAGAAAGCTAAGCCACCTTTGCTGGTGGCTGGCACACCAGGGAAGAGCCCTACTGGGAGGAACTGGGCATCTTCCTGGGTGGGATTCTTACTGGGCAAGGCTTTGCAGCAGCTGGAGCAGACAGGCCCTCGGTTCCTAAGCAAGGGTGGAGCAGCTGTTTGCTGGCTTCACCTTTCCATCAGAGCTCTCCTTTACCTTAAACCTTTACCTACAGCTGCCCTGCACTGGCAAAGGCTTAGCTGTGAAACAGGGCATGGTGAGATTCTCCATTTCCTTTTCCTTAAGCATCGGCTAAGAAGCTTCCACTGTGGCCCAAGAACTTTGAGATTCAATGAGGTCACCCTTGTCCTATCAGCGCTCAGATGAGATGGTCTGGACTAACCCCAACGGACTTTCTGGAAACTAGAAAACGGCAATGTCTGCTCAAGACTGCCACCTGCTGGAAGTGTGCTGTAATACCAGACAACTAGGCAAGGCCCAGGAGGTGGAAGGCGCACCCTGCGGGTGCAGGGGGCCAGGACCCACCTTGCTGAGGACCAGCAGCTGCTGCTTCTCTTTCTCGCTGGTGGCCAGGGAGGCGAACTGCTGCAGCTGCAGGGGCGTGGGCGGTGTGGTGATGTCCAGGTAGTACTTGAAGGCCTGGAAGATGGTGCAGGGCGGGAGGCGGCGCTCATCTGTCCAGTTACGGATGACTCCTGTGGAGGCACAATGGTGGTTGGGGGTGGGTAGGGGCAGGAGAGTGTGAGCTCTGAGGGCTTGGGTCCCAGTCAGGATGGGGCTGGGTGAGCCCAACAACCCCTCGCCTCTCCATCTTCTATATCCCACATCTATACCTCATGTGCAAGCATATCCAAAACCCATTGTATGCAAACTAGTCCAAAAACTAAAAAGGAAGTATTCAAGTAGCAGGAGACAGTCCCAGGCATTCTACAGTGAGCCACCAACTGAGCGTGAGTTATGTCTGTCCTCTGGGGAATCAGCTCTCCCTCCTCTGAGCGGGATTCCAGGGTTTAAAGTGACAAACATGCTTACCACCTACCTAGTCTATTCTATGCGGCAAGTAGAGGCTCAGCACTTTAACTCCTAGAATCCTTCTCATCTCCCCAGACTCACAACCACCCTAGGTGGTACGTGCTATTATTATCTCCCTTTTGCAATTGAGATCAATGGGAGCCCAGAGGTCACACAGCTCGTAAGTGTGAGGCCAGCAGTCTGTCTTGTAACTATCATACTGTACTGCTTCTGTGTACTTTTCATTCAATATAACCCCCAAACACAAGCCTCTCCTTCATCAGGGACGCAATCCAAGATAAACGGGTGCAGTTCCACATGGATTAAACACTGATTACGAGGTGTGTCTCTCCTAAGTGTGCCCTCCTAAGGGACCTTCAACAGGGCTGTGACTACATACTCATGTTATGCCCTGGCTGCACACCTGAGCTCCTCTGTAGAGGTGACATGCCACTGTACCACAGGCTGCCACGCAAGGCCACTGCCGTTCTTCGTCCTGAGCCCTGAGCTCACCTGCACCTACTGAGCTGAAGCACTGACCCCTTTGCCTTTGCCAGTTTTTCAGTGGGAATGCCAAGAATGGCCACGGAAGAGGTGGGGACGTGAACGATGAGGTCTGATATGCGGGCATGGGGCTGCATACAGTCAGGGCCTTTGGACCCTAAGAGGAGGCAGGGTCAGACTCCATCTGCCATTTATTCTATGGGCACGGGGGCGGCAGTGACACAAAAGGAAGCAGAGTGGGCTCAGCTCAAATCAGGCTGCCCATCGAGGTCCTGGCGTCCCAGACAATAGTGCAGCCTATTGGGCCAAGGTTGCTCAGCCCAGAGAAATGGGATGTTCTGTTCCGTAAGCTGGAGGCAGCAGAGACCCACTCTCCTCCCTGAGTTGGTGACTGGGATCATGAAGGGGTCTCCTCTTCTCTGGACACCCACTGCCTCTGGGACTCCCTGAGAACGGGAGGGCCTGGGAGTGGGCTGGTGGGGTGCCGCGTGGCCTTGTTACCCAGAGCCGTGCTCCGCTCTTCCAGCAGCTCCACTTTCACCAGCTGGTTGATAGGAGGCGCGTCCTCCAGCCGCTCGATCAGGGCATTCACCAGGTCCTCCTGGTTGCCAGGGAAGACACCCAGGTGGTCCCCAGGCTGGTACTGCAGCTCCTGATGCCCATTGGTGTGGAGACGCACGAAGATAGTTGACCGGCTAGAGGGAAGGACCGGGAACAATGAACTAAGGCATCACCAGCCACCGCCCCCTTTCTTTGCTCCTTTGGGGTGTCCCGTGACTGCAGTTTGCCTCCTTCTATTCTCCTTGGGGCCGGAGCCAGCCAGACTTCTGTCCCCCTCACTTCCACACCCCGGTGTTAAGCAGCATCACCTGGGAATTCACAAACCCAACAGCCACTCTAGCGCTCAAGCCGGTCATGGGTGCAGCACAGGCACAGCCGCTCATGCCTTCCTTCTCACGGAGCCTGGCACCGAGGCTCTGCTGCCTCCTCTCTGGCTGCCCTGGCCAGCCTCCTGTGCTGGTTCCTTCTCATCTCCCCCAACTCTGGGCTTTGGAGCTCCCAGGGCTCAGTCCTCAGATCTTTGTTTTTCTATCTTCTTGCCCCAACTTTTCTTTTCTCCATTGCAGGGACCATCCCCTGACCCACAGTAGCATTTACTTCATGATCCCGTCTGTGGTCTGTCCCCCTGCCCATCCTCTGGCCCCCACTCTAGAAGACAGGGAGTTGGTGTGTCTGTTTTGTTCAGGGCTCTATTCCTGGCACCTAGGACAGTGCATGGCACATAGTAGATGCTCAAGAAATATTTTGTTGGTTGAAGGGACCTCAGTCTCCCAGCTGCCAGAACAAACTTTGTCTCAGTAGCAATGGGATCCTCTCGACACCCAGAGCTAAGACAGTGCTGATCCCCCAGAATCCTAAACTTCACACCTTTTGCAACTGGATGTCCTCATATTGCATGGGAAGAGGGAAAAGGACCTGGCCTGAAGCCCGGGTTGCTGTTAAACACATATCCACCTGATATTATAAAAATGGAGAGATCTAAGGAGAAACCCAGAGAGAACCTTGTTCCCATCTGCAGGATGCCCTTTCTCATGGATTCTTGTATGTCAAATGCAGGGCGGTCTGTACCAGATGAATGGGGGCCTCAAGAAAGAGTTCTCAGGCTTTGGTTATTCTGGTTGGTGTAAAGTTTTGGTACAGATGCTACATTTTACACATTTGAAAATTTGGGGATTGATCACACGTTGGCCAATCAAATCCCTTGTACACCTCAGATTATGACCGCATTTCAGCTCTGCTTCCTCTTCTTTGACAAATGGTTTTCAGTTGATAGAGAACTTGACATTCAACATGAAGTTTCTATTCTCCCTTGAATAATCAACATTTGAGTAAACCAATGGGGCTTGCTATTTAAAGGAGTTTTTGGCGGAGCCAGAGCCTTTTTGTGCTGCAAATTGCCGCCATTATTAAAAATAGCTGTGCTGGCACACTTGCTTTTTGGGGTGTCAAGTATTTTTTTGAAGTGGGGAATTTGGTGACTGAAGTTGTGAATGGCAGTGTTAGAGTCTGGGGTCCCACTCCCCACCTCTGGGCAGATTATGCCCTCTCTAGGGCACTGATTTTACATGATTGATGCTGCTTTGAGCTCACACCCATTTTGGTTCCCAGAGAGTCAGGACATTACCCACTGCTAGCTCCAGGGAGGGAATTAGCAGAGACTGACGGCCAGCAGGTGGCGCTGTGGGGTTGCTAATTTGGGAACCTCCTGAGACAACCACAGGAATCCTTTGAAAAGCCTGCAAATCAATTCCACTTTCTCCCATATCATCACGATTTCTTTCAGAAGTGTATTTGCCTCTGTTCTTTCAGCTGGCACAAAATACAACTGCAGAGGACACGAACCTGCTGAGCTGGCTCACGTTCACAGCCATTGGCCCAAGTCAGCCTGAACTAGCAGAAGGTGGCCAGGCAGATAAGGGGCAGGGATGGGGGTGGAGCTGGCAGGTTAGCTAAGAGGCCGGCTTAGGCTCTGACCAGGTTGGGCTTGCTGACAACCCCAGCACAGAATGTGTGCATGGTTCTAGGGCACCTTGATGGGCTGGTCCTTGAAGTTTTGCAGGAAGCGGACCCTACTGGGTAACGCTAGCCTGGAAACCAAATGTCTTAAATCTCAGTCCTGTTGGAGGTTTCTAAGTGTAGGACTTTCTAGGCCTTCTTAAAACAAAAACAAAAACAGATACAAAAAAACTTGCCGAAACGGGTTTGGCTCAGTGGATAGAGGGTCAGCCTGTGAACTAAGGGTCCCCAGTTAGATTCAGGTCAAGGGCATGTACTTTGGTTGTGGGCACATCCCCAGTAGGGGGCGTGAAAGAGGCAGCTGATCGATGACTCTCATCAATGTTTCTAATTCTCTATCTCCCTTCCTCTCTGTAAAAGAATCAATAAAATATATTAAAAAAAAATTTGGGGCACATATGGACCACTGAAAGTATTAGGGGAGAAAGAAAGGAAAGTATTAGGGAGCAGCCATTTAGGCCTTCACCTCCTCCCCCAGAGTAGCCCTGGCCTATGCTGTATTTATATCCACACAACAGAAGCAGAACACACACACACACACACACACACACACACACACACCCCTACGTGCATGTGCTTGCAGTGGTTCAATGCCAGGTTCCCAGATAAAACAATAGTCTGCTAATTTCCAGCATTAAATAAATAAAAAAAAAAACTGTTCAATTTTCCAAGAAAAGGATAAACACGTCTATCAAGAGCAGTTAGAGTTAATAGGTTCATTCCACAAATTTATATTGAATGTCAGGCACTATTCTAGGCACTGAGGAGACAGTGGCAGATAATGATAAAGTACCCTGACTTCATTGGGAAGTGACTTAAAAAGATCTCAGATGGAGTTGCTGATGTGGATGGTTCGTGGTGATGGGTTGGGGCAGTAGGCTGAGACCACCAGATAAGAGTGATCAGAGAGGCCTCTCTGGAGATTTCACTTTTGAACAGAGACCTGAACAATGGGCAGGGATAGACATGCAAAGATCTAGGGGGAGAGTGTTCCCAAAAGGAGGAGCAGCACATGCCAAGGCCCTGAGGTAGGAGACAGTGTAGTGTGGCTGAGGAATGGAAAGGAGGCTGGAGTGTTTGGAGAGTGATGGACACAGGGCTGCGTGTTGGAGAAGGAGGTCAGGGAACTGGGCGGAGGTCACCACCTGCCACCGCAAGGAGACCGGGGGTTTTGTGCGTTCAGTGGGAAGCCACTGGAGGCTGTGCAGCTGTGGAGGGATAGGCATCAATGTACATTTTGAAAAGATTCCTCTGGCGCTGTTTGGAAATTGGGTTTTGAGAGAAAAGCCAAGCAACAAGGAGGCAGGGTATGTGCCTAAAGCAGCCACTCAGACCAGAGGTCATCATGGCTTGGCTCAAGGTAGCAGCTGGGACCTGGATGTGCAGTGTGAGGGGAGATGAGGAGACTTGAGTTTTGGCTTTAGCCAAATGTGGATGTTTTCTGTTACGATGGTGAAAGCTGGAGAGAGGCAATGTATCCGAGGGGAGATGGAAACCAAAAGCTCAACCATCTGAGCACAGACCCATGAACCAATAGGTCACTGGTTCGATTCCTGGTCAGGGCACATACCGGGGGGTTGCGGATCAGTCCTCAGCAGAGGGTGTGCAGGAGGCAGCCAATCAATGTATCTCTCTCATCGATGTTTCTACTTCTTTATCCCCGCCCCCCTCTCTCAAATCAATAAAAAAGCAGTAATACTTAAAACAAATTTTCAAACATCAAGACCTCTCCTTTGAATGGTCCACCAGTCTCTAAGCAGCCAAATGCTCAGGCCCTTCTGTACTTCTGACAGGTCCTTCTCTTCTGACAGGTCCCTCTGCCACTCTCTCTAGCCTGGCTCAAGCCTGTCCAGCATTTCCCTCTTCCTCCTGCTCCTGGACTCCCGGGCACAACCCACTCATTAGTGCTCCGGTACACACTCTTCTGTACTGTTTGCTAATTGGTGCTCAGACATTAGAAAATGTATTTTCTGGCCAGGCAGTAGCTGCCATCACTTTTCTCTTTAGATTTGCAAGGACCACCCTTGAAAGGCTGTTTACTTCCTTTTAAGCACTTTGCTTGCAATTAAGGGGCTCCAATGGGGTCATTCCTGATAGCTTGCTTATGGTCTCCTGGGTCCCACAGCCCAAGTTGGGCCTTGGGCAGGGAAAAACAGGAGAGAGTGTCATGCTTTTTCACTCAACCCTTAAAAAATGTATAAAGCTAGAAATGGTAGTAAGCCCCCCAATAGTGACACAGAATATACTTTTAGAGAGATAAACCCTCGACACAATGTTGATCCTTTTTATGCTAATCCATACTGTCTTCCAGCTCCCGGCCTTGTTGAAATACTCTTGGAGAAGCCACTCGGCACAGAGTCAGCTGCCCTTTGCAGAGGTGGGAGAGGAGTTATTCTGGGACTTCAGTCCAACTTAGTATCAAACATTTGCAAATTAACTTGCTTTTTAGGTGCTATGATATTGGGAGAGATTTTTATGATCTGGTCTTTTCTAGTAGTTTCTTAAGTCCCTTCTTTTTATAATGCTGCTTAAGTCACACCTTTGCACAGGATTGGAAGGGAAAGTAAGATGTGAAATATTTCAAATGCAGAGTCCTTCTCTATATCAGAGATTGTTAAGTTGTGCATATTGCATTTAACTAGCTATTCAGAAGGTGCAATTTCTCAATCCATTTCTTGAATGTTTGAAGATCTAAGAGAGAACACAAGTGGCCTGGGATTCCATCCTGTAGGTCACTCTATCAAAGTCTTATAGCCCACATAGGAAAGCATGCACATTAACTTTGCAGGTGCATAAAGTTGGATGGATAAAGACTAGCCATGGGAAAGTATGTTATAACTGTTGCTCTATGTACCTGTCTATAATACAGCAACCTTGCAATGCAGTGGAGGCCACATGGATAGGCATTCAGTGTCTTGACCTTGAGTTAGAGAAGCCAAGTCTGTGTGACCTTGAAAAAGTCACTTGCATTTCTAATGGTCACTTCTCCTATTTAAATGGTCATTTCTCCTATTTAAAATGTGGATGATGATGGTACCTCCTTCCTGAGGTGGTCAGAATTATGGGAGATCCTGCATAGAATGGATGAGAATGGTGCTTGGAACACAAAGTACTAGACAAATGTCAGCTATCTTTGTAGTCCTCACTGTCATTTGGGATAAGGAGACAGGAGCTCTGAGGACTTGATGGCCTTGCCCAAGGTCACACAGCAGTTGCATGGCAGAGCTGGGGTCACCACTCAGGGCTGTCCACCTCAAGAGACCACTTTTTATCCATGCCATGCACGCAAAGAATCAAGATTTAAAAAGATCTTCATGTGCTAAAACTGCAAAGTGAAAGAGATTCCAGTTGATGGGGATCAATCCAAAGATATTCATGTGTGCTAAGAAGGTCACTTATGCAAGTGGAGGGATGAACAGACCTGGATGGATCATTCTGAAAAGATCTGAAAGCTAAGTCACCCTGGCCAGGTGGCTCCGTTGGTTGGAGCATAGGCTTAAACACCAAGAGGTTGTGGGTTTGATTCCCAGTCAAGACAACTGATCCATGTTCGTCTCTCACATTGATATTTTTCTCCCCTCCTTCCAAAAATCAATAAAAACATACCCTCGGATGAGGATTAAACAGTAAAGACTTGATAGCTAATAGCAGCAAATCCCTAAGCTTAAACAGGAGCTCATCATGGCTGCTAGAACGAGGCCTGCAACCTCGGCGTATCAGCATCATGTTCTCATGAGGGATGGTAACAATAGCAGTGGTCACAGGACCTGCGCTGCACTGTGACCAGGTCTGGAATGCCACTTCCAGCAGGACAGAGTGTGTCCTTTCACTAAGCAGAAGGCATGGGAAGCCAGGTCTTAGGAAGAACAATTGGAAGGAATCAGGGCCCAGGAGGGATTGGTCAAGGTCTTGACTCCTAGCAGGTGTTTCATCTGGAAGAACCAAACATTTTTTAGGTGTCCCCGGAGAGTGTCACTGGGATCAAGACACTCTTGGAAGACATGCTTTGTAAACTATAGTAAGGTAATTTCTAACAATTAGGGCTTCAAATGCACAGTGGCTGTTTTGTGCAGTAATGAGCCTCCCGTCATTCCAAAGGACTGAAAGCAGAGCTCTAGAGAAGAATTACCCACCAGGAGAAAAACGCCGGGATTAAGTGATTTCGACTGAGATGCGATGGCACAAGTAGAGTTCTACAAGGGAGAGGTCTATATGGGGACTTTTTATAGAACCATTCTCTTTCCACATGATCGTCACCATCTCCTTTTCCTGTCCGTCCAGGGGGGGGCTTGGCAAAGGAAAAGCAGAAAACAAAAATGCTACAAAGCAGCAATGGGCTCTCAATGGCACTTGGGATGGTAACGGGAAACCAGTTTCCGGAGTCAGCAAGGACCCTGCCTCCCTGTGGGGGGTTCTAGAGCAGCGGGGTGGTGCCTGAGTGAATAAGATTCCTACCTGGATTTAGGGCTCTGAAGGTTTTGACGGCTGAGAAGACGAGCGGCTGAGACCCGCTTCTTGTGCACATTGGATAGACCTGCGGGGAGAAGAAACATCCTCCTGAAATGGGTTAATCAGTTGTCAGGAGAACATCTCCAGCTTCCATTGACCCTCTCCTCGCACTCCCACTGTCCTCTGGAGCAGCAGTCGCCAAGTTTTCGGACCTCATGGACCACAGTGGTCTGTGGACCACTGGTTGGTGACCGCTGCTCCAAAGGTTTCCTTAAACCAGTCGTCGCCAACCTTTTGGACCTCACAGACTACCAGCTGGCGACCACTGCTCTGGAGTCAAGTGAAGGGAAAATAAGAAAGAGGCAGGCAGGCAGTGGTTGGGGTAGATGGGGTGGCTGCACTTATTGAGAAGAGGACGGTTCGGGATAATGCCCCATTTTCCGGGAGAGAGAGGTCCATGCACATGTTTCACTGAGCGTGGGGCGGCAGCAGTGTATTCACTGGGAGGACTGAATGAAGGGACTAAGCAATGAGACCCACTTTCTCTCAGCACCTTTCTATGGGACAACTCCAGACTCTCCTTTGCCCCCTGTCCTGAGTGCTGGCCCCAGAGCCTGGTGAGAGGTACCTTGTGTAAGCTCTGGAGCTTCGGCCACATAGGTGAGGCGGAACTTGTTCCTCTTCCAGCTGCGGTCATTGTTGATGAGGGAGTTGTTCGCCTTCTCAATGTTGACATCATCTCCCACGCAGAACACGTCACAGGCTGTCTGTGGCACATACAGGGCTTTCAGTGGCCTCTTTCAGCCAAGAGGGACTCTTCTCCAACAGCTCCGAGTCACGGCATGTATCCCACCATCCATCCATCAATCCATCTACCTACCTACCCACTCACCTTTCAACCCTCCATCTATCAACCCCTCCAACTTCCCTTCCACCCATCCACCCACACACCCATCTACCCACCATCCATCCATCTATCCAACCACCCACTAATCCATCCTATATTTTTTGAGCGCCTTTGATGTACTGGACATATCACATTTACTATTGTCTTTAGGACCCCACTTTCATATGTAACTCTATGCACTTATTTATAAAACCAACATGTGTAGAGGTCTATTATTAAACAAGAAAGTAAATACTTTAGAATTTCCTATCCAGTTTCCTCTACAGATTTTAAAAAGTTACACTAAAGGCAGAAAATACTGAATGTCTGTATACCTGTACATAAGTTTTCTTTTTGATTTGCTAAGTTTATAAGTTCTCTAACTCTAGTGATCCTAAGAATTACTGTTCAGAATTATTTTTTGAGATAAAAGCCAAGGATAACACCAAAGGTTTTCAAGGATAGCTTTTTACCAATTTTTGGGGTCGCGTTGATTTTCAGATGATTCAAATATCCATCAACTGACAGATAAACAAAATAAGGTATATCCATCCAATGGAATATTTGGCCATGAAAAGGATTGTGTCTTCATCGAGTGATCATGGTTAACATTTCTAAAATGAGTCATGTTGACCCCAGGTGTCCTGGCATGATGTGATGAGGACATCTCTCCTGGGATATTCTTCCCCCAAAACTATCATCCCCCTCTAATCTTGAAAAAAAGATGATACAAAGTCAAATTGAGGGAAACACTACAAAATGCCTCACCAGTACTTTTAGAAACTCTTAGGATCATAAAAGGAAGACTGAGAAACACAGATGAAGAGATAAAAGAGATATTTTGACAATGCGATATGGTATCCTGGATTTGATCTTGAAATAGAAAAAAGGCATCAGTGGGAAAATGGGTGAAATCTGAATAAAGCCTATATTACTGTATCACTGTTCCGTGTTTCCCCAGAAATAAGACATCCTCTGAAAATAAGACCTAGTGTAACTTTGGGAGAAAAAATTAATATAAGACACTGTCTTATTTTTGGGGAAACAGGGTAGTTTTGACACATATACCATGGTTAACAGCGGGGCAAGGTGGGTGAAGGGAACTCTTTGTACATCCTTGTTACTTTTTTGTAATCTCAATTTATTATAAAATAAAAAATATAAAAAAGAGCCGGGACCGGTTTGGCTCAATGGATAGAGCGTGGGGACTGAAGGGTCCCGGGTTCGATTCCGGTCAAGGGCATGAACCTTGGTTGCGGGCATATCCCCAGTAGGGGGTGTGCAAGAGGCAGCTGATCGATGACTCTATCTCATCGATGTTTCTAATTCTCTATCTCTCTCCCTTCCTCTCTGTACAAAATCAATAAAATAAAATATATTTTAAAAAATATTAAAAAAGAAAGGAATGAAGTACTGATACATGCTACAACATGGATGAACCTTGAGAATATTATGCTAAAGTGAAGAAAGCCAGGCATGAAAGACCACATTCATATGAAATGTGCAGCATAGGCACATCCATGGAGACAGAAAGCAGGTTAGTGGTTGCCAGGGCTGGGGTTGGAATGTGAAGATAGAGGGGTAATAGCTAAAGGACAGGGTGGCTTGTAACACATGCTGCTTCTGGGATACTCAAAGGAGGCCGATTGAAGTCAACACAGATATCTTGAGGTGTGAAAAAAGCCAAGTTATCTCCATTCTGCCCATCCAGGAAGAAAGCAGGGACAGGCTTATTGACACAGCCTCCCCACACAGGTTTCTTATAGCTCAGAGGCCTCAGTTTCCCTCTTGCTCTACACCTGCATTTGCTTTCAGAATGAAAAGTATCAACTGGGTCACAGAAGACTGTATAGCCCCTTTTCTCCAGAGGCTGCTGCTAAGAAGATACACCAGGCTGAGGAAAGAGCAGGTAAAGGTGGACCTATAGTTATTGCTTTTTCTTTCTCCCCCAGGGGCAACTAAATCATGCCCCACACGCAGATCGGAGGCCATTAGTCCTTTATCCTCCTGTGGCCTCTGTCTAGAATAGGATGTCCTACCATGATGGAATGGCTCTGTACTGTCTGACAGTGACCACCAGCCACTTGTGGTTTTTGAGCATATGAAACATGGCTGGTGCTATTGAGAAATTAAATTTAAATCCAATTTAATGTATACATTGAAAATTAATATAAAATAACATTCATATAGAATGAGATAAATGAACTATATGTAAATTAACTATATTTTATACTAGAGGCCCGGTGCACAAAATTCGTGCATGAGGTGTGTCCTTCAGCCCAGGCTGCACCCTCTCCAATCTGGGACCCCTCAAGGGCAGTCGGACATTCCTCTCACAATCCAGGATTGCTAGCTCCCAACTGCTCACCTGCCTGCCTTCCTGATTGCCCCTAACCACTTCTGCCTGCCAGCCTGATCATCCCCTAACCACTCCCATGCCAGCCTGATTGATGTCTAACTGTTCCCCTGCCAGCCTGTTTGCCCCCAACTTCCCTCCTCTGCCAGCCTGGTCAATCCTAACTACCCTCCCCTATAGAGTTGATCACCTCTAACTGCCCTCCCTTGTAGACCTGGTCCCTCTCAACTGCCCTCTCTTGGGGGCCTGGTGCCTCCCAACTGCCCTCCCCTGCTGGCCATCTTGTGGTGGCCATCTTGTGTCCACATGGGGGCAGGATCTTTGACCACATGGGGACAGCCATCTTGTGTGTTGGAGTGATGGTCAATCTGCATATTACTCTTTTATTAGGTAGGATAGAGGCCTGGTGCATGGGTGGGGGCCAGCTGATTTGCCAGCTGGTTTGCCCTGAAGGGTGTCCCAGATCAGGGTGGGTGTTCCCTTGGGGCATGGGGCAGCCTGAGCGAGGGGCCTGTGATGGTTTGCAGGCCAGCCATGTCTCCCCCCCCCCCCCCCCCCCCCCCCCGCCCCCTGACTCAAGCAGAGGCCCTGGTATCTGGGATTTATTTACCTTCTACAATTGAAACTTTGTAGCCTGGAGCGGAGCCAAGCCTCCTGCTTGCTCCATGGCCCGCAGCCATTTGTTTTGGGGTTTGTGTATCTTCTATAATTTAAATTTTGTAGTCTTGAGTGGAGGCTTAGGCTGGCAAGGGCAGGCGGAAAGCTTGGCTTCCTCCATTGCAGGGGAAACCCAAGCCTCCCTTCTGGTAGCCATCTTGGTTGGGTTTATTTGCATATTTGCTTTGTTGGCTGGTGGGTGTGGCTTGTGGGAGTAGTGGAGTGATGCATATTATTCTTTTATTAGGTAGAAGAGTAATATGCAAATTGACCATCATCCCACTACACCCACAAGCCATGTCCACTCACCAATCAGAGCGAGTATACAAATTAACCCCAACCAAGATGGCTGTAGCCACAGAGAGCAGTTGAGAGGCTTGGGTTTCCCCAGCAACAGAAGCCAAGCTTTCTGCCTGCCCTAGCTGGCCTAGGCCTCCACTCAAGGCTACAAAGTTTAAAATTATAGAAGATACATAAAACCAAACAGAAATGATGGCAGCCGAAGTGAGTAGGGGGGTTTGGCTCCACTCCATGCTACAAAGTTTCAATTGTAGAAGATAAATAAAGCCCAGATACCAGGGCCTCTGCTTGGGTCGTCTGGGGGCATGGCTGGCCTGCAAACCATCATAGGCCCCTTGCTCAGGCCGCTCCACGCCCCAAGGGAACACCCACCCTGATCTGGGACACCCTTCAGGGCAAACCAGCTGGCAAACCAGCTGGCCCCCACCCATGCACCAGGCCTCTATCCTATCTAATAAAAGAATAATATGCAGATTGACCATCACTCCAACACACAAGATGGCTGTCCCCATGTGGTCAAAGATCCTGCCCCCATGTGGACACAAGATGACCACCACAAGATGGCCAGCAGGGGAAGACAGTTGGGAGGCACCAGGCCCCCAAGAGAGGGCAGTTGAGAGGGAGGGCAGTTAGAGGTGATCAACCCTATAGGGGAGGGCAGTTAGGGTTGACCAGGCTGGCAGAGGAGGGAAGTTGGGGGCAAACAGGCTGGCAGGGGAACAGTTAGACATAAATCACCAGTTAGACATAAATCAGGCTGTCATGGGAGTGGTTAGGGGATGATCAGGCTGGCAGAAGCGGTTAGGGATAATCAGGAGGGCAGGCAGGTGAGCAGTTGGGAGCCAGCAGTCCTGGATTGTGAGACCCAGTGGGATTGGGTCTAAACGGGCAGTAGAACATCCCTTGAGGGGTCCCAGATTGGAGAGGGTGCAGGCTGGGCTGAGGGACACCCTCCACCCCGTGCATGAATTTCATGCACCGGGCCTCTAGTAGTTACATATTCTCATAAAGAGTGAGAAGGGATAATTCATATAATATAAAATTCACCATTTAAAATGTACAAGTCAGTGGTTTTTAGTATATTTACAAGGATGTGCAGCTACCACCATCATTTTCATGACCCCAAAGACACTCTGTATCATCATTAACAGTAACTTCCATTTCCACTTTTTCAAAATCCTGGCAACCACTAATCTACTTTCTGTCTCTATAGATTTGCCTATTCCAGACATTTCATATAAATGAAATCATATAGTATGTGGCCTTTCATGTCTGGCTTCTTTCTCTGAGATCATATCTTCAAGGTTCATCCATGTTGTAGCATGTGTCAGGACTTTATTCCTTTTTATGGCTGAAGAGTATTCTTTTGCATAATTTTATTTATCCATTCATCATATTTAGATTTAAATAGCCACATGTGGCTAATGGATCCCACATTGGCTACTGAATATTTAGCACAAGAGAAATATGCTTCTCCAAGTAGACAAGTTGATTGGGTTCCAGGTCAAGGCATAACCTTGGTTTGGTTAATCAATTTTATGTGTTTTGTCTATTTGCAAACCAAATGTGAGTGAGGGATGGATTCCTCCCTGAAATTCCAAGACTCTGTAAGTTCTTTTGTAGACTAACTCCTTAGACACAATGCAGGAGTTTGGGTTCAGTGTAAGAATGTGTGTTGTAAGGCCACACAAGCTCATCTGAGTTGTTTAAAGCTGCCTCCTAGGTGGATACTTGGGGGAAGTACTAGGGGTCTTCTCAAGTTTATTCTCTTTCTGATGGTTCAGGCAGACTGTCTTTGGGGGTCAAGGGGAGCATGACCTTTCCCCCTGGGTCTCTGAGATCTGGGAGGATGGTTACCTTGAAGACCTTCTTGGCCCAGGTCCTGAACGCCTCCTCCTGCCCACAAAGCTCATCCCCTTCTTTCATCTTCAGGATCCTCTCTCCTCCCAGCTCTTCCAGGAGGGTGTCCACAGCATGTCCAAAGGCGCAGAAGTGCGGATATGCCCTCGAGCCAAGGCCAAACACTGAGAACCTGCCAACGAGAAAACAGAAAGTGTGAGATTGGGCTGAGTGGGTGGCCGGTTCTGTGAATAAAACTATGTCTTCCCAAATTCATATGTTGAAGCCATAGCCCCAGTGTAACTAATTGTATTTAGAGAGGGTGCCTACAAGGTGGTGCCTGAGATGAAATGAGGTATAATGTGAGGGCCCTAATCTAATAGAACTGGTGTCCTCATTAGAAGGGAAGAGACACTTGAGTCTCCTTCTCTCTGCATGTTACAGTGGAAAGGCCACAGCAAGAAGGTGTTTGTCTGCAAGCCAGGAAGAGAGGCCTCACCAGAAACTAGTCCTACTAGCACCTTGATCTTGAATTTCCAGCCTCCACAACTGTGAGAAAATAAACTTCAAGTGTTCAAACTACTCTGTGGTGTTTTGTTAAGGCCACCCAAGCAGACCAATACACCTGTTTTTTGTTTTCCCCCCAGAAGGACTGTGGTTAGCCATTGTGGTCAGGCAACACCAAGCCTATTTGGAGAAGGCTATCATTCAAATAGTCCCCAGAGGCTTCTCCCTTCCTTTAGTATCTACTAGGCTAGTGGTCGGCAAACTGCAGCTCACGAGCCACTTGCAGCTCTTTGGCCCTTTGAGTGTGGCTCTTCCATAAAATACCACATGCAGGCGTGCATGTAAAGTGCGATTGAAATTTTGTGATCCATGCGCAGAAGTCGGTTTTTGGCTCTCAAAAGAAATTTCAATCATTGTACTGTTGATATTTGGCTCTGTTGACTAATGAGTTTGCCGACCACTGTACTACGCAATACTGTCCTCAGGAGAAAATTCCAAATTTGTCCTAAAGAAAATGAATTGGGAGTAGTGATCATCCAGAATCATTGCTGTTTCCTGTGTGTCCCTCTCTAAGTTGGACTAATTGGGAATATTTGTCTACATTATTGGGAAGCTTAAATTCTACAAGTTTTGTAATTCTACAAAACCAGAGTAGTTTCAAGTGCAAAGACAATGGAAATTATGACACAGAGGGACCTGAATCAAAGAGGAGACCAAGAGGACTTATCGCTGACACGTCACATGTGGGTGTGGACAGGCTCTTCCGAGAGGGATGGAGGGTTTGTGAACATGCTGGCTCTGCCCCTTGCAATGTCTATGAAATTAACTGGTTTCACAAACCCTCCTGGCATAGTCACCACCAAGAAGATGCTGCTGTTTGAATAGATGGGGGTTAAGTTAGTGACATTTTGGTTGATGTGGAGATGGGGGCTGGCGGCTTTCAGGTATGGGAAGTGGGGGGCTGGGCCTGGCGTATAGCAATCTGGTGGACTGCCTTAGCCTAAGCAGATTTGGAAAGGCCCAGCATCAACCTGCCGTGTGGTTAAGGCACTGCTCCCCAAATCTGCAATATGTTTGTTTGTGAAACCACCATACTTGACTGTCACCAACTCTGTTTCTCATTATTTTGGTTTAACCTGCGATTAATTTGTGCTTACTAGCCCATCCAGCCCACATGTGTTCATAGCAGATGGTTCAAGAGATGAGCTCATGAATATGCTTCCCGGTGCACCTGAAGACCTGCATCATCGTCACTTCCCAGACTCATGTTTCCATCACCATGTTCACCTCATGGCTTCAGAGTTCCTATTTTAAGCCTCTAAGCCAGGAGTTGGCAAAGTTATTGTACAGGGGGCCAGAGAGTAAATATTTTTAGGGGAAGAAACAAAATTGAAATGATTATATAGCTACTTCTATAACAAGAACAAATTCACACACATTTTTTTTCTACTGACAAAGTTAAAAATGTGCTACTAATAATGATAATAATTATAGCTCAGTATAATTTTTTAGTAATACATGTCTGCTCATGAGAATTCTTTTTCATGGAAGATACCATTATGCTTAATTGGAGCTCAAAGGTAGTGCTTTTTTTTTTTTTTTTTTTAAATCATTAAATGAACTGCAAGTGTTCAGGTGTAAAAACCATTCTTAGCTTATGGATTGTACAAGTTCAGACAGTGGCTAGGCTGGATTTGGACCACGGCTGTCACTTGCCATTGCCTGCTCTAAGCCATGGTGGATTTAATAAGGGAAAAATGGGTCTGACTGTCAATCTATGCAGCTGACATTTCAATGTCAAACTAAAAAAATATAGATTTCAAAACCTATATAGAATGGATAGCACCAAGGGGAACCCTAATGTAAACTATGGACTTGGTGTGCTCATGACGTGTCAACGTAGGTCCATCAGTGGTACAAATGTACCCTCTGGTGGGAATGTTGATGGCGTAGAAGGCTATGTGTACGTATGTGTTGTGGGGCAGAAAGTATATGGGGAGTCTATGTACATTCCCTGAATTTTTCTATGAACTTACGACTGCTTTAAAAATTGAGTCTTTTAAAGAGTGGACTGATGGCCGCAATGCTTCAATATCGAGGAGCCCTGTGATCTGAATAACCTACTGAGCACTGCTTTGAGCATCTGTGAAGAAGGTTTAATTAGTGGGCAGGTTTAGTTAAGAGATTCCTGGCCAGGCCTGGATATTCTACTTGTATCAACCTTGTCTTGACCAATATCTTGAAACCAAGGGTTTGACATGACATCCAGTTTTATTTCTTTCCAAATACTCATTAAATTGAAGACACAACTATTGAAGTACAAAATATATGTCCATGTACTACCTAAAGTTATCTCATGGCATGTGATTATGCTTTTGAAAATAAAGGAGTTAGGCCAGTATCTTTTGAATCTGACTACACAATGGAGTCATTTGGGGAAATATTTTCTCAGTTTTTAAAAATGTATTAATTCCAGAGAGAGAGAGAGAGCAAGATTTGTTGTTCCACTTATTGATGTATTCATTGATTAATTCTTGTATGTGTCCTGACTGAGGATTGAATCCACAACACTGGCATATTGAGATGACATTCCAAACAAACAAACAAACAGACATACCCGGCTAGGGATAGGGGAGAAGCAAGCTTTTTTTTTTTTTTTTTTTTTTTTTTTTTTTAAGTAAACAATGCTTGGTCCCAATTGTAGGCTGATTACACCAGAATCTCTGGAGTTGGGGCTTGGTTATGGGTGTTATTACAAATATCTCCAGGTGCTTTTAATACTCATACTCAGCTTTGAGAACCACTGGGTTATGGCAGTTTGTCTCCAGAAGCTTCTATCAAGTGTACCACATATCACTTGGGAAGGACAGCTCATTGTGTAATTTCTAGGGGGCTCAGCGTTCTCCATCAACAGTGATGTGCTGATGAGGGGGTGAAATGTGTGTGATGGGATAAAAGGTGTGTGGTAGGGTAAATGTGTGTGGTGGACAAATATGGGATTGTGGGGGCAATGAGGCTGTGCCTTTACGAAAAGGAGTCAGGTGCAGCCAGGTGCAACTGGTTGTTCCAGGGATGAACAGGCATGGAAGGAAGACACCCCCATAACAAAAAGTCCACTTTGCAGCTGAGTCCAGTTCCCCCAGAGCCTTTGTCACCCCTGATGCCCCGAGCCCCTTGCTCACCTCACATTTGCCAGGGGGCCAGTGCTCTCAAAGTTGTCTCTGTGGTTCGGCCCACTGCCTAATGACTTGTGGATGTCGGAATAGGAGGAAACACTGTTGAACCTGACCTTGTAGCTCCTGCCAAAAGGAGAGAGAGTCATGAGCTCTGGCTTGAGCCCTCTCCTGAGGTCAACACCCTGGATCTTCAAATGACCAGTCCTGGTTCTAGAACTCTCTCATGTGTGATGAGTGAGACATTGCATCCTAAGGCCTCCTCTACAATGGATCAACTTACCCTCACCCATCACCGTGCCAGCCATCCATCTGTACTTGATGCCCTGTGTATTAAAGGTTTCTTTCTGACCACACTCAACTCAGGAAATTGAAAGCCCAATAGTCAAAATAATTGAATAGACAAGAAGTCAGGAAGGAATAGAACAGACCACCCCTAACCATTAGACCATGCTTCCTTGCTACCCAAATTTTAACATGTGTAGATCAGCCTGGGGCTGTGTTAGGCAGATCCTGATTCTGAAGATTTGGGGGCTGGGCCTGCAAGCTTGAATTTGTAGTAAACTCTCAGGAGATGCCAATGCCGCTGGTCCCCAGACCTCACTTTGCGTAGCCTGGACTAGACTTGTATTGTCCACTGTGGTGGCCATTGGCTACCTGTGGCTATTTGAATGTAAATCTAAATTAACTCACACATTAAATATAATGAAAAATCCTGTTTCTCACTTGCACTAGCCACACATCAGTTGCTCATTCAACAACCATGTGCGGCAGAAATATAGACCATGTACTGACATCACCCTAGAAAGATAGATTGGACGCTGCTCTTTCTGTCAAGTTGTGGTCCTTAGACATTCCAGGGTCTGTCACATCCCACCTTCCCCGTCAACATGGAAAGTGCTCAGCACTGACATGTGGCAGGAAAGGAAACTGGCTTTCTCATTAAATTGTTTTGAAGGGGAAGGAAGATGTCATTGGGACTCAAGGAGCCTTAAGCGTCAAGAAAACACACACACCTGGTTTTCCAGTTTTTCTCTAAAATAAGTTTAGATCTCAGACAGGGCAGAAACATAAAACAAAACAAAACAAAACAAAACAAAAAAGTCTCCAAGACAACCCCCCCCAAAACAAAAACAAAAAATCCAAACCTCCAAACAAAAGAAACAAAGCAAAAAGGAAACACAAAAACTCAATACATCAATCTGAGTGCAAAAGACAAAAAAAGAAAGTGCGCATTCTGGCAGCAGGGTTCCTAAGCGGGATATCTTCAGTTCTTGCTCCAGGATCGGGAAAGGTCTAAATACATGTAAGCATAGTTTCTGCCCTAAAATAGTCACACGTTGAGTCACTTCTCCAAATAAGGCATGCAACATATCAGGGGGTGGCCGTGGTGTTAGTGGGAGGGTTGGTGGGTGGTTGTGGGGTAAGAATAGCATGTGTTTTTGTATGAGGTTTACAGTTTCCCAAATGCTTTCCTCTCTCTTGTTATCCTTTGGCCCTCACAACAGCTCCCAGATATAGTCAGGACAGAGAGAGCTTCTCCCCATTTGGTGGATGAGAAAGACTGAGGCCCAAAGAGGTCAAGGGACTTGCTCCAGGAAGCTTAATGAGTTAGTGGCACAGCCTGGGTTAGTACCTCAGGCTTCCTTCACACTTAGATGTGGCCTTGGCGGTTTGAGCATCGGGCATGCATGCGCACACATGCACACACACATCTCCCTGCACACATGCATGCACACAGGTGCATGTATGCACATGCACACCCGCTCTACCTGTGCTGGCTGTCACGGGCTGCAGCCAGACCATGGACTTCTGTGTCACCTCGGGGGAGGAGGAGCCCTTTACGGGGAGAGAAACGCAAGGGTTCCGGGTACCTAGAGGGGAGAATGGATGGTGCCCTATCCTCCCTGAAGGAGGGGACCTGCTGGAGACCACCCAGCATGGGATGGGCAGAGGAGGGGCAGGCTCAGTGAGTGCTGGAGCTGGGCACAGAACGAGGGCTGAGTGCAAGGGACTCAGCCACCCCCTGGATATGAAACGCATGCGAGTTTGGCAACACGTGCTTGGCTACAAGAAAACCAAGAGGGATTTTCTGCGAACCATGGCCAGCGACCATGGCATTTGGTGCCCATTGCAGGCATGGGGTCTGCTCCGAGCTGGAGGAAGTGCTGTGCTGGCCTCACTAAAAGGCAGATCCATCTGCACCTGCCATATGTTCCCCACTTTGTGGGGGATTTAAGGGCTTTTCAAGGGTAATTTAGATTCCAGGTGTTTTTCAGATCACGGAATCTCTTTAGAACCCTGCCCTACGTTGGATGCAATGTCATGTGAACACTGTCTGACTGCAGGCATCTGCCTTCTTTTGAATGCAACCCCCACACGAGTTGCAATGCCATTGTGAGCATCAGGTGGAGCAGTTCCAGGGAAAGCAGCTCATTTCACTGATTCCACATGTCGGTTCCCAGCGGCAGGAGAGAACTGGTATTTGCACAGTGCTCCTAATTTTTCACAGGGCACATTATATCTAGTTTCTTACAAATGGGAAAGTTTAGGCAGGTGCAATAAACTCTATTTGATAGAAAAAGCAACTGAGGCACAGGGCTGTGAAGTGACCAACCCAAGACCTTCTAGTTACAGACCAAAGCATCAGCTCTGGTGGGGCACACGCACCCACCAGCTAAAATCGGTCACAACCACCACCCACCCAGATCTCAAATGTGAACCCCAGGTGCCAAAAGACAATTTCCAGTTACCCCCAAGGGGTGTCATGCTACCTTGGAGGGCCATTCACTTACTTCCTTTCCTCCTGCACAGAGTTGGGGTGCCTCATTTCCATCAAAGCACAGCCGAATTTCTGCAGACCAAAAGAGGTGAGTGACATGGAAAGCGTGTATTATTAAAGCTGAAATATGCTCAGGCACCGAGAGTCTGGGGTCCTAGCTGGAAAAAGAGGAATCTGCTGCTTGGGGGCCTGGATGTCTGAGATGGTGAGATGGTGAGATGGTGAGAGGCTTGGCAGGGCAGCAATGCTTGAGCTGCAGATGCACATGGGAGGGTCAGCTGCTTAAAGAACTGCAGAAGTGGACTCGCAACCCTCAGCACATCAAACCCCTTTGTGGTTTTCTCTCTATAAAAACATTGTCCTCACTTCTCTCATCTGGAGCATCAAGCTCCAGGAGACACCAAGCTCTTGGTTTGAGCATCCATTCTAAAGAACAAGCTCACTCAGATGACAGCAATTTCATTAGGAACCAGCCAGCCCCTGGGTACCAATGGACAGAGGACTTGGAATTTCCAATCTTAGATCCACATTGAAACCACTGTCTTTGGGGCCCTGGGAGAATTTGCTACTGAATAGCAGGTGCAACAGTAGCCCCTCTTTCTTTCTCCTGATGGAAACACATGCTAGAACAGGTGAAAACTCATCTTACCTCCCCATTTTCAGGGGGGTCTCCATTGCCAAAGGTGCTGGTGACCACCAGGACCAGAGTTTCATGTTCCAGGTGCACAATGTCATAGTCTTCCATGGATATCACCTAGGTGGGAGAGCAGGAGGGTGCAGGAAGGAAGAGGTGATGAGAGAGAAGGTGGGAGAGAACAAGAAATGAATGAGGAAAGAGGAGGAGGAGGAGGAGGAGAAGGAGGAGGAGGAGGAGGAGGAGGAGGAGGAGGAGGAAGGGGCAGAAGATGAGTCATCTTGAGCCATCTCCCTTGGAAGAACCAAACGCATGGGGTGTGGCTATTTCAATGGGTAGAACGGGAAGCCTTTGGCAGTGTGGGAACTTCCTACGATCACTGTGGCCTGAAGGACGTAGGAAATCTGGGGAAACGGTGCAAGGGTTGACTGCCAGGAGAGCCAGATCCTAACTGAGACCCTTCAGCTTCTTGACCACATCTAGGCTGGGAATGACCTGGCTGACTGGATCTGATCAACTGCTGCTAAGCCTCCTTTCTAACCCTCCCTCCCACAGGGTGGATAACCTGGGCCAGGCAAGTCTGAGATACCTGCTTTAGGGAAAGATTGTTGCCCTATATCTTAGTATCGCTTGAGAAACATTTTTCAATGGCAGTTTTTAGGGAAGCCCAGTCTCTGGAGATGCTTCCCAAAAATAAGTGAGCCATAAACAAACATGTTTGGGGGACATTTACATTCCCTGCCCTCTTTTGGAGATAACACAGACTTTCAGACTAAAGGCTCTGAGAAGTCCTGCAGCAAAGAAATCCACTGAATGATATTTAATGCAGAGCTTCTTAAACTGACTCCAGAATTGATTTTCATAAAATCCTCTAATGGTTTCCTATAGATCTGGGGGTTTCATTTTGTGATTCATGGACTCCTGGGGGGTTCACAGAGAGAGGAACATCATAGTCCCCTGAAATTTATGAAAATGTGAGTGTGTGTGCTGATGGGCAACTTGAGATGTGCTTTCATTCATTCTCAAAGGTTTCTACTCTGTGGAATTCCCTCTTTCCCCTTCCAACTTTAATCACCAGCAGAGGCTAGAAACCTGGAAGTGCCCCCTACCCACCTTGGCATCGAAGGCGTGCTTGAAGATCTCACACAGGGTTTTGGCATAGGCCTGAGATTTACCCGTCTCTGTGCCATAAAGGATGGTCGCCTTGACCCTCTTGGCCATTGCCTGTCCCATCAGCTTGGCTGAGAACTTGACAGCTCTGGGAGGAAGGGGAGAGAGAGGACCATGGGAAATGGGAGGCTGGGCTATTGGGCAGAAGCAAGATCCATGACATTAACCACTGAGAAATTACTGTCCTGATCTTTGATGGCCTCTGGGAACTCAAAGCCTGAAAGGGGCACCATTTGACCCCTTTACATCCCTCCAGAGCAAGGAGTCATGAGCTGAAATGGTTGGTTAATTGTGTTGGGGTGTTAATTGACCAATCCAAGTCTTGAAGACCTTGCTTTGCCCAGCATTGTCCCCAAAGGATGACCATTCATTCATGCACTCATTTGTTCTTTCATCCAATGCGTGTTAAGCACTTATGGGCCAGACATTGTTATAGGAGCTGAAGAACATAAGAGAATGTAGCTGTGGACAAGCAGCTGTGATGGGGCTTACGTGTGTGTGTGTGTGTGTGTGTGTGTGTGTGTGTGTGTGAGAGAGAGAGAGAGAGAGAGAAAGAGGGAGGGAGGGAGGGAGGAACAAATCACTAGGTATTGAGCTCAAAGGGCTTTCAGAAGCGAAGGACCAGGTCTGGTTTAGTCAGCCATGCATATCCAGGGTCTTGCACAGCTGATGTCTAAGAGGCACTAAATATATATCTAGCAAAAGGAATAAATTTTAAAGATGCTGCTAACACTGAATACTTGGGGAGTAAAATGTTAAGTCTAGGCTCTTTGTAGTTAAATGGAGAGAATTCAGAACCACTGTTCTTCCCGTCCATGAGGGCCTGGGCGAGGCAGCCAGGCCAGAGGCCCAGGAATGTCTGGGCTCACCTTCAGAGCAAGCATCCCTGCTCTAACTAGGCATCTCTGAGCAGACAACTTGCTAATTACTCCTACCTGGGGATTATTGGTGGTAAATTCATCATTTTTTAGAATCAGGGAAACCACCCACGCTGCAGGAACACTTGGGCTAAGGGGGAGAAGCAGAGAGAAATTAAAAGGTGCCTGGAGGGTTCCCTTTGAATAATGGGAGCATAAAGCAGCAGCTATAATTAACTTCCATTGTTTCTAGAGCCATCTTAATAGTGCAGTTAGTGTTTTAGATTTTCCCATTCTTCCCCCACCAGACAGCTGAAGGGAAGCAGGGGTTGCCCTCCCTGAGAATATTTGTGATCTCTCATTAGCGAAAGGATGGTTGCTGAGGTGCCCTTGCTTGACTGGAAGACGGGGTTAGGTGAAAGGAGAGAAGAGGGGAGGAAGGGAGAGAGATGCCATGGGCCATATTAATAGAGCCAGCACCCAGGGTTGAGTACCTGCAAGACCCACAGTGTCTTGCTTCTGTGGCATGGATGACACCGATTTTTTACTTTTATTTTTTACAACTACCACCATGCAGAGAGAGTCTGGACCTGAGGACATTCAGGAAAGAGAGTGAGGGGCTCTGTGCATACTTAGCTCCTCTGCCAAAATGTAAGTTAGCTCTGAACAGGGCATCTCCAAGAGTGCTGGCGGAGCTCTCTTTCTGAGGAGAAGCCTGCATCCCCATTAGAGCACCTCATTTGGCTCCACCCCACTTGTCAATTGGCCCCTTGCTGGCTACACATTCTTTTTTATTTTTTAAAATGTTTTGTTTTTTTTGTTTTTTAGAGAGAGAAGGAGAGGGATAGATAGAAACATCGATAAGAAAGAAACATTGATCGGCTTGCCTCTGCACGCCCTCTACTGGAGACCAAGTCTACAATTCAGGCATATGCCCTGACTGGGAATTGAACTGGTCACCTCTTGGTTCATGGGTTGACACTCAATCACTGAGCCACATTAGCTAGGCTGACTATACATTCAGGACAGTTATTCTATGGTGGCCTTGGTCCATAACCCCCCTCCATCCCTCCTGTGCTCAGTTAGGACTTACTCATCTTACTCTTCAGCTCAATTGTCATCTCCTAAAGGAAGCCTCTTTGACCTCCTAAACTCGGTGAAGTCTGTTCTTTGGCACCATGGATCATTCCTCGATGGCACTCAAAGTGCTAACTGTATTTGTGTGATTCTTTGACAGATAAATGGTTGTGAGCTTCAAGAGGGCAGGGACCACATTTGTCTGGCTCATGATGTCTTCCCTGGAGCATAGTACAGTGCATGACAGGGAATAGACTCTCAATATTCATTTGTGGGCCAAATGAACAAATGAACGAATGAATGAATGAAATTAGAGTTCAGCCCTGGACAAGAGCACTATTGGCAACGATGTTCTGGACCCAGCTCATTCCAGCTCCTCTCTACTATGGGTTCAGTGACTTCCTGATGGTGGCTTAAAACTGTCCATAATGGGAGTATTTACACTATGGTAATTGGCCAACATTACAAATCTACTACTATTTTTACTTTTAATATTATTATCAGGAAAGCTGGTTTACCAACAAACCATTTCCTCCAGGAAAAGAATTTATGAAACTGGGTGAGGAAAGTAAAATCGGAAGGGAGAAGAATTGTGGCGACATTTATATCCCTCACTCTGAGGCCAAGAAGGCATGAGGGGGTGAGAGAAAGTAGAGAAATCTTATCACACTAGAGGTCAGAGGCATGGCTAGCTGCTTGGGGCTCTCTCTTTTCTGGGGCTCCCAAAGCTTCGGGGCACACACATCTCCTACCTACTTCAGGAGACTTACTCTGCCAGCTTCTTGAAGCCGATGGCTCGCCGCTTTGTGGGGGTCACATTGGTGCCTTTCCAGAGGTGGGTGTTCCAAGGGTCAGGCTGGGAAGAAAGGACTACCATTACTGCAGGGAGGGACCCAGGCTCCTCTTGGAAGATGCTCAGAATCCCTGCCCAGCCATGCCCAACCCACAGGGAGTGATTCTGCGAGTGATGGCCACAGGACCCTTGCACAGAGTGGCTGGCTTAGCCTTTCTGCACTGTCCTGCTAGACCTTCCCACGCAGCCCTCAGTCCCTCCCAAGACTTTCATTGAGACCCCAGACTACTCGTTTAGTCTCCATGAATCTTTCTGCTGGGGCTGCGCTGTCCAACATGGTAGCCACTAACAAGCATGGCTACTGAGCACTTGAGTGTCCAAAGTGCTAGTCTGAATTGAGACTTGCTCTCATCATAACACACACAAGGATATCGAAGACATAGTGCGAAGAGGCAGGGAGGGGCAGGACCTGGTATTCGAAGGAGGGAGTGAGCCGGTAGTTGAGCATCTCCTGGTGGAAGACAGGGGTGATGCTGCCAGACATGGGGGGCACAATCCACACCCAGTCTGCCGGACAGCCCCCCCTGCAGCGGTATTCATTCTCCATGTGCTTAATGAAGGACTCAGTGGCCGAGTGGTGGTCGACGATGGTCACTTTGTCACTCTGTGGGTGGAGAGGGAACAGCAGCCAGGAGGTAAGAAAGCTGGGGTGTTTCAGGATTCTCCCACAGAGTGGCGTTTCCCGAAGGACAGGTCCTGGAGATGGTTTAGTGCCCAAAACTTCTCTGCATCTCTCCTTCTGACTGTACCCAGGAGAAAGTTTTGGTTTGCGACTAACAAGCTTCTCTTGCTAGTCTTTGTCTCTTCTCCCCCATCCTTTTAAAAATGAACCTCTCTCTTATCTACCTGGAATTAAACAACTTGGTTTTGTTATTCCTTGTATTCATTTATTTACATTTACAATTCTTTTGTACTTAAGGCAACTGATCTTGGCTCTCCATTTATGGCGGTGATACAAAATCCTGTCTCTGTTAGCCGATAGTCTGAGTCCCTTAAACAAGACACAGACAATACCTGACATCTCAATTCTAAAAAATCACAGGTGACAAGTCACAACCCCCACTACTGTTCACTTCCTCCTCAAACGTCCACACTCAAGATCAACACGGAGAGGCAGGCATGCATGATGGGCAGTAGACTGCGCTGGTGGACCCATCTCCCCAAAGGTGGTTGCTGGCAGTGAGGGCTTTTGGACTTTTTGCTCTAAGGCTCTGAAAGGTTTAGTTCCTCCCTGAGGCTTGACGGCCAGGACCCGGGCACTACCTGGAAGCTGTAGAGAACTGCAATGTTGATCTCCACCAGCGCCTGGTCCTTCCACAGAGAGGACGTCTTCTTCATATCCAAGTTCATCTTCTTGGCCACTTCCTGCAAGAAGAAGGGAAACAGACTTACAGGCTGGGACGCTTCAGACTAAGGAGGGGCAGGGCTAGCTCATGTCATGAATGAACATCTTAATTATTAGTCAGCTCACTGGCAGAGTGAGTCACTCACTGAAGACTTCTTATTGAGGACCTACCGATGGTGGGAAACTAGAGACGTGGCTGGCCATTTATTATTGAGCGCAACTCACAGTGGTAGAGAACAGTTTATATTGTGATCAGTGCTAAGTCCTACGAAGAAAATAAGACAAGGATACGGGATGAGCAGGGATATGGGACAGGGTTCATTGAACCACGATAGTCAGGAAAGGCCCATGTGGAGGTGGCATACCGGGTGAGACCAAAATGAGGAGAAAAAGCAGGGCATGTGCAGACAGGAAGGCGAGGGTCTCGGCAGAGAGACAGCACGTGCAAAGCCCTCGAGAAGGGTTCAGGCTCGTAGCATCTGAGATACAGAAAGAAGGGCAATGCATGCGGAGGGTGGGGAGTTGGTGGGAGTTAGTAAGAAGGGCAGGATCTTGAAGGATGTGCCACAGAGCCAGGATTTTTATTCCAAATGTAACAAGGAGGGTCTTCACAGGATTTTAACCAGAGATTTGGGCCTGGGAGTGACCTTGTCTATTTTCTAGTGGGAAAAGCTCTCCACCCATCCTGCTTCACCCTTGGAGTGGCCACTACTTGTAATCTAGATCATGGATGTTTTGAGCTTGACTGACTCCATCTGACAGGTGAGGAAAGTGAGGCTGAGAGGTGCCTAGATTTGCTCGACTTCTGTAGTTGGCCTTGGAGCTTGAGCCCAGGGAGATGTGTACTGCCCAGAACCCGAATCCGGGCGCTACTCCCCAACCAGCTGGCATCTCTGGCAAAAACAATCCCTGATGTTTGTTACAGCTGAAGCAGGAGCTGATGTCAAGGGTGGGGAAGACCGAATAGCAAATGCACTAATTAGAGCCTAGCTTTTCTCTTACTCTGTCAATTCCAGTCACTCGTGGGAACCCGGGTCTCATTATGGGGCTAGAATGCGACAATTTCTCAGCTTTGAGTAAATAGCTTCCCAGCCTCAGCTGTCAACATTTGTACAGAATGGCAGCTGGAACTGGAGGCAAGGGTGGGAGGGAGTCTCACTTAAGTTACCCTGTGACTACTCGTTGCAGTCGAAATGCAAGCAAGATCGTGGAGGCAGACTTATTGATTCACCGTTTGGGGCTGAAGCGTTAGGTTCAGCTTGGGGTCTTTGGGCAGCGACACAAATGCAGAAGTAAGGAATTTGCTGCTTTACGTAAGTACATATAAAGCTCAAGTTATATATAAAAGGGGAGAGTGTGTCTAGCCAGGTATGCTGCTACTATTACTTCTACAGCATTATTTTGGTTAACAAAAGAGAAATTAATTGCAGGGGGGGGGGGAAACACCTATACAACTTTAAAAAAAATCCCCAAAGGTGACTCAACACATCTCTATGAACATTAACTAAAATGTTTTTTCCTTTCTTGCCAGAAGTCTGTACAGATCGGTGGCTGCCCCAGTAGAATCCGTTAGGGAGCTTTGAAAAATGCTGACACCCACCCGCCCCTCCCCCATAGAGCAATTCCATCCACATCTCGGGCACTGCTGTGCTCCCCTGGTAACCGCAGTGGATGGTGAGGCTGAGGACCTGGCTTCTGTCTTGCAAGATAACAACCATGGATTTTTTTTTTAAAGTGAGAAATAATTGACATATGATATTGTGTACATTTAAGGAGTACAAAATTCAAGGTGTTGGTTGGGTACATTTTTATATTGCAATATGATTACCACTGTAGCATTAATTAACATCTGTAAGTAATTATTGTGGTGAGAACAATTAAGATCTAGTCTCTTAGAAACTTTGAAGTTTATACTAGAGTGTTGCTGATTATAATCTCAATACTGTGCTTTAGATTTCCAGAATTTATTTATCTGTATGACTAAAACAACATCTTCCCCAATTCCCATGCATCCCACCCCCCACAACCACCATTGGAACGCTCCGATCTTACCAGAGAATCCACATTAGCGAGATCATACCGTGTTTGTCATCTGTCTGACTTAGCTCACGTGGCCTACGCCCTCAGGGTCTATCCAAGTGAACACCTATGGGTTCAGCCACATAACCTAATGCTTGGTTCTGAGTTCTAATCTTGACTCTCCCTTATTTACTGTGTGACACAAGCCAGCACTTCATTCTCTGCTTCTCAGTGCCCTATTTTGAAACAAGGCCAGCGACAGCAGACTGTTGTCAGGAACATTTGCTGACAAAACCACAGCAATCCTGATGCTTTCACCAGAGCTGAGCACCAGGAAGCAGTCTGCAGATGAGGATGGCACTTTTCAGCAGATGAGGATGACTCAGCCAGGGAGGAAACCAGACCCTCCACTGAGAAACGTGTGTGGCGGAAAACCACCGACACTCCTCCTCCCTGGTTTTCCAGAAAAGAGAGAAAAAAAAGTCCCAAGTTTATCGGTCATTCTCAAACCGTTCTAACAGAGTTTGACACTGAGAGGCAGTGTAGCAGTGTGGCGATGAATTTGGACCACAAAACCAGACTGGGTTTGCATTCTAGCTCTGCCGTTTTCTAGTGGTATGACCTTGAACTCATCATTTCACCCCTGCAAAGGCCTTGGTTTTCTCATCTGTGAAAGGGAGCTTTTTAACCTGGAGGTTGTGGTGAGGATTAAATAAGCATGTTATACATGCTAAGTGCTTTGAACACTGCCTAGCACACAGTCCATACACAGTTAGTGCCATGGATGCCTCACTGAGACTGCAGGTTCTGTTGTAACCCATTTCCAGTTTCTAAGCCCCAAAGCCTGGCTGTGGGGAAGAACTGCTGAGCCCACCCCTTCTGCCTTGTGACTAAGGAGGGACCTCACCTCCAGGATGTTGTACCGAGAGTTGTCACAGTAGTCGCGGACGCCAATCTCCGTGCCCATGTACCAGCCGCTGAAGGGACAGGCGCTGAACTCCAGGCCGCCAATCTCCAGAAGCATGTTGGACACAGCAGGGAGGCCGTACCACTTCAGCCCCAGGTCCTTGAACCATTCAAACCTGCGGAGAAGGACACAGCCCAGCTCACCACCGGGCAGGAGTCTCAGGCAGACAGAGGGTGGGACATTCTGAATCTGGGGATGCTGAAATGCCAGCGACTGACTAGAGCTATGTCAGAACCTGATTCCTGGGCTCTGCTTCAGAGCTGCAGAATCACAGGTCCAGAGCTGGGGCATGAGAATATGCATTTTGCCATGTTTCCCAGGTGATTTGCATGGATATCCAGGCATGTGAACCACTGCCTTGGACTGCTGTTTAGCTGCTAAGCCCACTCTGAAAGTTAGTCCAGGAGAAAGTGAGTTCCCTCCTTCTCAGGACCTTTGCACGGCCTTTTTCCTCCTGGGGCCTTCTTTCTTCCTCTATGTCTGACCAGCTCTTATTTACACTTTAATTCTCAGCTAAAATGTTGTTTACTCTTAGAAAGCCTTCCCTGATGCCCAATCTGGATAGGGTCAAGTGACATCATGCCTCTAGGCACCATACACTTTCTATTGCAGCATGTTATTGGAACAAAGCTATTTGTGTAAGATCAAAACTTTAAGTAAAGACAGGATTCTACCCTGCACTCACATGACTCACTTGGTTTGCCTTCTTCTAGTCTCAGCCATGAACTGGATCCTGGATTTATTTAAAATGTTGTCACATTGTACAGCACATATTTTTTTTAAAACTATTTTTAATTTTTCTTTCTTTTTAAAAATATATTTAACTATATTTGTTGATTTTTAGAGAGGAAGGAAGAGGGAGAGAGAGAGATAGAAACATCAATGATGAGAGAGAATAACTGATTGGTTGCCTAGGGGATCAGGCCTGCAACCCAGGCATATGCCCTGACCTGAATCCAACCGGTTCACAGTTCATAGGTTGACACTCAACCACTGAGCCACACCAACCGGGCTATTTTTGATTTTTAAAAAATATTGCATTAAAATATTATTCATCTTGATTATTGAGTTTGTTGGTGCTTGCTTCAATTTTGCCCCCAAGGCCACTGTGGATTTCTTTCACTCCAAATTCCTTTCAGACTTGACTGCCATCAAGTCACAGGGTTTTAAACAGCTGGGCCCCAAACAGGGTAGTAGGTACTTATGCACTCTAATCCTTTGGGCTGGGAAAGGGCAGGTCTGGGTCAGTAACTTAGGAGTGGGGTAAGAATTCAGAAAAGATGGCAGTCCCCAGCTGGTCAAGGAGGAATTAATCTGAACCCAGGCCCCAGTGTGAGGACTGAAATCAAGAGCCCCTTTCAGCCTGTGTCTGGGCTGGAGAGAGAAAGCCAAGGGGTACAGAATGGGCAGAGAGGCATTGGGGAAAATCCACCCACCGTCACCAACTCCATGCCAGGCCCTCTTACTTGGGGTGCCTGATGGGCACTTCCAGCACCAGCTCTGGGGGAATCTGGAAGAGCTCGGGGTCATTGCCGTTGGCCTGGAGCAGGAGTGGCAGGACGTCGAAGCGGCCTCTCGGGGGCTTCCAGCCCTGCGATATGCAGATCTGCAAGCAGACCCGCAGGTCAGGCACCAGCTCAGGCCCTAGACCCTCCCAACATGTCGGCATTGGGAGGGGCAGAGCCCAGGCAGCCCGTTCCTCTGGAGGGTCTGGGCCACGCCGCCTCCTTTGTCAAGGTCTCCCCGACATCACCACGTAACCAGTTTTACCCTCTAGTCCCACAGACAGAGGGTAAAACTGTACCCCAGCACCAGGCTTTGAGCACTCCAAATGTGGTGGGTTCCAACTGAGGCCATAAGTGCCATAAGAATAAAATACCAGGCCACCGAGACAGAAACCACGCTTTATGACTTCTGGGCCTTTCCTGCCCACTGGGGAGGGAATCTATAACATGTAATATATAACATGTAATCAAACCTATTAGGTATAATTTACTTGTAACTAGAGGCCCGATGCACGAAATTTGTGCAAGGAGCTCAGCCCTCATAGCCCCAGCTTCGTCCAGAAGGTCATCTAGAAGGTCATTTGGCTGTCCAATCTAATTAGCATACTATGCTTTTATTATTATAGATAATAAAGTTTAAATAAATTAACACTCAAAGCTATTTAACACAATTACATATATTACTCAAAAAGTATATTACTTTATTAATAAATATAATAAATCGGTTAGTCCAATATTACCCACTATAACATTTTCAATACATAATTGAGATAAGAACTTATTAATAAGATATTCTCCACTCTCCTTCTTCGGTTTCTGTCTTGGTGATTTGGTGTGTCTGCAGACTGTGCTCACGAGCTCTGTGTGACCAGCAGCTGCTGTATTGGACAGCTCCAGGGAGAGGTTTGTAAAAGATACAGCTACGTGGCTATGTTTGGGTGATTCTTTCTGCTGTGTTAGTACAAAGAAGCAGCATGAAATTATGCACTTAAAAGAACACGTCCTGTCAGCGAGGTTTCTGGAAACAGAAGAAGAGGAAGAGGCACTGGCATCTATGTTCTGGTGGCCACAAGGACAGGGTCAGCCAACTCTACACTCAGCTCGCAGCCAAGTGGAGCAGAAAGTCTGGCTGAGTCTAAATTGGCACAGGTGCCACCCCTGGTCGCCCTGGTACCTCCCCTTCCTTAGGATAGTAGCATTTAATCAGAAGAGCCAGATACAAAGGCAGTTAGCAGCAATGAGGGAGTTCAGTGGCCCTGCCTGGCCAGCTCCTCTTGGGCGAGGTCCTGGGAGGAGTTTGAGGGGGGTCTGAGGCAAGGACAAAGATGACCTTCAACTGGGGATGATTGGGTGATTAAGAAAAGGGGGTACCAGGCCTGTGTGCCTGAGGTTACGATAGGCATGGCATCTGCTTGTGTGTTTGCCAGGGCACAGATGCTGTAAGCTGCCGTGCCTCAGCTGTGCTACCTGTCTGCATCACCTAGGAGGAGCCCTGGATGGTGGTGTTTGTGTTTCTAGTGGCTTTTATGAGTTGACTTCGGCTGTCAGCAATAGTGACTGTGCTGGTACCATGGAGAGTCCAGCCTATCCAATGAGGGTTGTGTGGATTGAATAGTTGTTAAATGAATGAATGAGTGAATGAATGAATGATATGAATTTGACATATTACCCAACTCAGAAAAAGTGGATGCAGGCATGGTTTCCATATGTCAGCTCCTCTCCTCCAGGTGGGAGGTAGGAGATTTGGACTGTATTTCTAGCTTTCTCTCTGTTCATTTACTTCCTTGGATAGTCCATTTGGCCTTGGTGAGACTCAGTCTACCCACCTGTGAAATGGGACAATGGTTACCATCATGAGGGTCAGGCAAGGTAATGGCATGAAAATGACCAATTGACCACCTGTAAGAGAACCATCTGGTTCTCTTTGGGAGCCACAGAGAGAAGGAGGTTTAGGAAAGAATAAGTGGTAGTTCATTTGCTTTTCTCCTTATGATGATTACATTAAAATAAAAAAAATCTGTTATTAGAAACAGTCTGGGTGATAAAAGCCCAGGTGGGCATGGACTGGGGGGCACGCACCTCTGTGAACGCCACGTTGGCTGGGTCCCCCAGGATGGAGCCGTCAGGCTGCTTGTAGCCAGCATAGCGGATAAGCTGGGAGTTCCAGACTCGGAAATCATGCTTGCTGTCGATTCTCTGGGGAAATATGGTGATGGCGGACCTGTGGGGGGCGGAGAGTGACACCTGGTGTCAGGGTGGGGCTTGCACTTTGGGGACACCCTGGAAAAAGTGTCACCCAGATCAATGAGTGCAAGAGGCTCAGGGTGTATTCCATCTGTACCCAGGTCCCCAGGCCCTTGGAGCAGCTGTTGGGAAGGGGCCTTGCCCCGTTGCTCCCTGTGTCTGAAGAAGGTGGAATGGGAGACCCCATGCCAGCTTGCTGATGGAAAAGGAATGCGTCTGATATGGGATTTTCAAACAATCTTGACTTGGGCCAGTTTCCCAGGGAGTCCTTTAGCAGCAGGTAATCTCCGGAAAAGACCATCAGACCCTGCTTCCCTTTAAGAATGCACCATCAGCCCTGGCTAGTTTTGCTCAGTGGATAGAGCATCGGCCTGTGAACTGAAGGGTCCTGGGTTCAGATCCAGTCAAGGGCACATGCCTCCTGCATGCCCCCTACTGGGGATTGAGCCCTCAACCAGGCCTGGCTCAATCCCCAGTAGGGGGCATGCAGGAGGCAGATGACCAATGATTCTCATCGTTGATGTTCCTATCTCTCCCTTTCCCTTCCTCTCTGAAATAAAAATTTACCGTTTCCCCGAAAATAAGACAGTGTCTTATATTAATTTTTTTCTCCCAAAGTTGCGCTAGGTCTTATTTTCAGGGGACGTCTTATCTTTCCATGCGCTAGGTCTTATTTTCGGAGAATGTCTTATTTTCGGGGAAACACGGTAATAATAATAATAATAATAATAATAATAATAGTAATATGCCCCATCGCCTGGCTGCAGTGGCTCAGTGGTTGAGCTTCTATCTATGAACCAGAAGGTCAAGGTTTGATTCCCAGTCAGGGCACATGCCTGGGTGTGGGCTCAATCCCCAGTGTGGGGTGTGCAGGGGGCAACCTGTCAGTAATTCTTTATCATTGATGTTTCTCTCTCCCCCCTCTCCTTTTCTCTCTCTCAAATTAATAATATATACATATATATGTGTATATATATATTAAAAAAACCACAATCTTAAAAAAAAAAGAATGCACATCAATGTCCAATTCTATAATAGTCTTTCTCCTACCATAATCATCGTTAATTCTCGTCTGACCCCCACCCATTCCATGCCAAAGTCTACAGGCTTACAACTAGAACAGATACCAACTTCCATTTGTATTCCATGTATTTACTCCGAAACGATAGATTGCCACTGGCTTCGCCTACCGAGCTAGGCAACAATGAGACTGTTTTTGTTATTGAATTGTAGCTGGAGCCCTGCTCTCTGTTAAAAGCAGTGTTAGAGAAGCGTCAAAAATAGGTTAGCACAGCTGAAACTGGTTTGGCTCAATGGATAGAGCGTTGGCTTGGGGTCTGAAGGATCCCGGGTTTGATTCCAGTCAAGGGCATGTACCTTGGTTGCGGGCATATCCCCAGTAGGGGGTGTGCAAGAGGCAGCTGATCAATGACTCTCTCTCATCGATGTTCCTAACTCTCTATCTTTCTCCCTTCCTCTCTGTACAAAATCAATAAAATATATTTAGAAAAAAAAATGGTTAACACAAAACTGAGATTTTCTCCTCAGCAGCAAAAGAGAAATTCATAAAAATTAAAAGGAGAATAACTTTTCATGAGTGGTTCAATGTCTCACGTCAGGAGTTCCTGCCACGTGGATCCATTGGTCCCATCACTGGACCGAATCCCAAGCTATGGCTTGTGCTGGCATGGGAGTCATACTGTGGGTCCAACCATTGCTCAAAGACCTCCCATCCACATCCTGCTCCTGGAACTTTGCCCCCTTGGCCGGAATCCCTCTCTACTGTCATGCTTCCAAATTCAAGCCCTGACTCAACTCCGCTTTCTCCACATAACATCCCCTGCCCGACCTGGTTCCCAAGGCCTTCTACCTGAGCCAACTGAAGTCTGTCTGCACAGGACAACACTGCCTTTAACACTGCAGAGATGGTGCAATGCACGTGGTGGTGAGTCCAGGATGGGGGGAGGGTGAAAGTGAAAGTCACAAAGAACCACAGGCACTCTTAAAAATCTCTTAGCAAAGGCTCCATATTGGGGAATCAACACAGGATAAGCCAATCCACCCGTTTTCCCTCCAGCAGTAAAGCACAGTGTCGCTCCTTTGGTTGAACACCGATAAAGGGCGTTTGTATAATATATATATTTTAAAAGTATGTTTAGAAACAGCAAAATCACACAGTGGGATGAGACACTCATGTGCAGGCACTGAGACCAACAGCAGAAATATAACACATTTATACCTCTCAGATCCCACATCTCCTAAGCCTGATCTCAGTCACTGGCAGGTGGAAACCCCGTGTTGTTTAAATTACCTCTCTCTCCCCTCCCTTCTTTTACCTTGCTCACCTTTCTTTAGATTATTTCTATACATAGCATACATGCTCTTACGTATGTGTTCAGATGTGTGGTTTTAAAATTTATTTTCAAAAAAGGAATCGGATGAATATATTCTTTAATAGGAGATGTCATAAAGACACCCCAAAATGGAGGTGCACTGCCTAGTCTGTGACCCCCTCCCCCTGCGCCCCAGAGTCATGGCATCATTTGAAAACTACCAGAACAGTCTGAGATCTCAACCAAGCCCCCTTTAATGCTCAGTATATGCTGGATTTCCTCTGAAGGGGGAGGTCTTTTAGTAAAAAGATATACGGTTGACCCTTGAACAATACAGGGTACAGGGACAGTGATCCCCCCCCTCCCCCCCAATGTAGCTGAAAATCCACAGCTAATTTTTGACTTCCCACAAAAACTTAGCCTACCATTACTGGAAGCCTTACTGATAACATAAATAGTCAACACATTTTTGTAGGTTACTGTATCCTTTAAAAATTATTTTATATTCATTTCAGAGAGGGAGAAGGAGAGAATGATAGAAACATCAACGATGAGAGAGAATCACTGATCAGCTGCCTCTCTTGCACGCCCCCTGCTGGGATGGAGCCAACCACCTAGGCATGTGTCTTGAGTGGGAATCGAATCATGAACCTCTGGTTCATAGGTGAGCTCTCAACCCCTAAGCCACACTGTCTGGGCTACATACTATCTTCTTACAAATACAGTTAGCTAGAGACGAGAAGAATGTTATTAAGAAAATTAAAGGAGAAAATACATTTATTACATTTCTTGAAAAAATCTGCATCTAAGTGGGCCTGTGCAGTGAAACACGCAGTGGTTCAAGGGTCAACTGTACTACTTCCCCATGCAGGCCCGGGGCTCAGATTACAGACCCTCTCCTACGGTAGGCTCAGCTGGCAAACACCGTTTCCTTCTCAAGGAAGGGACACATGCAAGAAAACCCATGCTTCATGCCAACAGGCCACTTTGGGGATAGGCTCAGTGTAGCCCCAATGCTTAAGGGAATATCCCTGCCCAACTGTAATTTCTGATGTAATGTAAATATCTGCTCTACAGCAGCGGTTCTCAACCTGTGGGTCGACCATCAGAAAACACATTACGATTCATAACAGTAGCAAAATTACAGCTATGAAGTAGCAACAAAAATAATTTTATGGTCGGGGGTCACCACAACATGAGGAGCTGTATTAAAGGGTCGAGGCATTAGAAAGATTGAAAACCACTGCCATAAACAATGGGATTTTCCTATTCCTGGAAAGGAGGAACATCCCTTCCTGCCCCTCCACGGTGACATGGAATGGTGGGCTGAATGTGATTTTGGCTGCTGTAGCTTTGCAAACCAGAAGAGAAGGGTCATGGCGGTGGAACAAGGATGCCAGGCCACCGCTCCAGCCTGGTGCATCTCCTCGAGGAGGTGGGGAGGATTTCCCTGGCAGGTGAGCCAACTCCAGACCCCAGGGGCAGCACTGGGGGACTCCCCTTCCCCAGGCTGGTCAGCTCACCTGAGGTTCCCTTTGTTGGTGGCATACTTGATGTGGTTGCAAATGTAGTTGAACATCCCATGAGCCGTGGTGCAGTCGCGGGCATCAAACACCTGGAAGAGGTGCACTGTGGGACGAATGGCCTCCTCTTTCCCTCCTCAACTCCCCTAAGGCAGCCTCCCACTCCAGCAGCTACCCCACTGGAGTAGTGAGCACCTCACCACTCCATTAAACCCAGAAAAATTCCTAAAAGTAGGCATGGATTGTAAGTGATGTGGGAAAGGGATGGAGAGGAGAGGAGGGACTTTTAATGGACTGGTTATATTTCCTGTTAGGTTATTAGGGATCAAAAACAAACAAACAAACAAACAAACAAACAATAAAGAAACCCCTGAGTTCAAAAACTAATGTATTTCCAACTTGAAACCATTCCCCAGAGAAAAGTCCTACCAAGGGACACAGAATCTGATATTTTTAGTCAGCAGGCAAATAATAAATAATATAAATAAGCAAAGAGTAGATGCAAGACAAAAGGGAGTGGTGGGGTCTGTGGTCAATTGGAGTATATAAGCCTTAACAAGAGAGACACAAATTCATTTTAAAATAAACACTCCGTTGGTTAGAGTCGTGTGACATGATTAGATTTGGCCATGATCTGAGAATCTGAGACCCCATGTCAACCATCTGGTGGTACTTCACCTTGGCCTCCAGGTGAGCCATTTTAAAGCTCACCCCTCCACCTGCCACCCTCTCCACTAATGGGCTCATCAAGGTATCTATGCTTCACCACCTACCTGCAGTTTGGACCACTGGATCCTGCCGACACAGCGGGAGGCATTCCTCCAGGCGTGCTTGGCCCCGTAGATGAGCTCTGTGTCTTTGAGCTGATAGGTGCTGGTGGTTTCAATCTCTTTGTTCACCTCTTCCAGCCTCTCCATGTGGGCTTTGGAGCCAAATCTGAGGAAGGAGGGGAGGGAGCATCACCTTCTCTCCCAAATTAGACGTTGGTGAAAGGAGGAAGCTATGACAGGAGGCCAGAAGCCACAGAAAGTCAGAGTTGGACACAACAGTTCCAGCATGAAGCAGAGGCTGCAAACTAAAATGCCTACAAAGGTCCAGCAGTGACTGAACTGGCTGGGTGGGACCTATGTCTGGCCCAAAAGGGCCAGCCACCGCTCTACACCAGCTAGCTGTCATCCTGAGAGCAATGGGAGCCCCCTGCTGCAGATCTTTCGAAGAAACTGGAAATCTTCTAATTTTAAATGATGGCAGTGAATTAAACTTTAAAAATTAAAAAAATTATGAAAAATGCCAGACTTATGAAAAGGTATTGAGAATAATACAATGAACATCCACACCCCACCCCTAATAAATATTAAATAAATAAGGACTAATATTATCGATCCTTGGGGACTACTTCCCCATAATGGCCCACCTTCTTCCCAGAAGTGACTGCTATTTTGCATGTGGCATCTACATTCTCATGCTTTTGCTTATACTTCTGCCTACATATACAGATAGCCCCTAAATCATGTACATTGTTCTGCAAGTTTAAAATATTTATATAAATAGTGATGACCTAAATGTACTCTTTTACACATGTCCTTCCTTTTTTTCACTCCAAGTTATTTGTGCCCTTCATTCCCTTGAGCATACAGAATGTTAACCCATTCATTTTTTCTTTTTTACAGCTGTATAGTATTTCATTATGGAAAATAGCGCATCTTATCTCCTATCAATGGTGTTGAGATGGTTTCTAATTGGTTTTTTAATTTTAATTTTTTCTCTATTTTGAACAGTGTTTCAGTGAACATTTTTATGGATGCCTTCTGTGCAAAAGTGTGAGAGTTTCTTTAGGGTATATATCCAGGCATGGAATTGCTTGAAATGTTTCCAATGTAAGCAGCACTTTGCAGGCCAAACAAAAACATTTCTGGGGGCTAGATATGGCTCTTGGGACACCAGATTCTGACCTGTGTGTGTGTGTAAACTTGCCTTTTAATGGACGAGTAGTACTGATCAATGAACTCTTTGGCAAGAGGGAAGAGCTGTTCTGTAGTGCGGACGTCCTCAGGCCTCCGTAACTGATGAGAAGGCTGCATAATGGAGCCCATGCAGATGTGTTCTCTGCATCCCATTTCCTGGACGGAAAAGAGAGATTTGGGCTATTACTTGGTTTTTCCCAGGTGTGGCATGTATTCGGCTGTGGACCCAGATGGGACACTTGTGGTGGTGTCGACCTGGCCTTTAATTCCCAAGGGGGATGTCTCAAGCACCAGCTTCATATCACTGTTGGATGTGGTCATCAGCCAAGGTAAGGGTGATAAGCAGCATTTTAAGGTTCTGAAAATGTTTGTTCAACTCAACAATGGAAAGAGTGGCTTTGTGACTGGCCTTCCCTTGGGACTGAATCTCCAGGAGCCAGGGGAGTGGCCACAGTGGCTTATTTGAACAGGTCTATGATATGTTGATTTCAAGAAATAGCCCGATTTGTTCCCCTCCCTATATTCCTTTGCAATAAGACTTTATGGCCACTCCCCATGAGAGGGGGGAGCCTCTCCTATCACCTCGTGAGTGGCCTGCAATACACTAGATGTCAGGAGCCTCTGATGTGACAACCAAAAATGTCTTCAGATAATGCTAGGTTCACAGGAAGTCCCCACCACAAAGAAGTATCTGGTCCCAAAGGTGGGTAATGCTGAGGTGGATAGATTCCGACCTACACCCTCCTAAGATACTCACCAATGTGCTCTTAAGGTGGAGGGTGTCAGTGAGAACCACGTCAGTCTCCCAGTTCTTGACCTTGAGGAAGCGGGGGCACTTGGAGGGGCTGCCGTTCTTTGGAGGGGACTGCTTTCCTGAGGCAGGGGCCTGAGGAGAGAGGGAAGATGGGATGTTAGGCAGGAGGGCACTGGAAAATGGCCTCTGCTGGGACGGGAGTGGCACTGCTCCTCCTAGAACCTGCTCTGAGTTACCAGCTGTCTGCACAGAGAAGGGGCTCGCCTCTCCCTGGCTGACCCATGAGAGGTGGCTGGGAACCTGGTCCCTCCACCTTCGCAGAAGGAGGTGTCTCGGAAGGGCCTTTCAGGTTCTGTTCTGGGAGGAGAGTCAGGAACCCAAAGATGGCCAGGAGCTCCCTGGTGTGTAGCACAGGCTCTGGCTTTGAGCAGGGCCTCAGTGAAAGTTTGCTGAATGAATACACGACTGAAAGGACTCCATCAGTTTCTTCGAAGGATAAAATCCTCAGGGCTGAGGAATCAAACTCGAGGCTGGGTCAAGTTACTTTTCCTGGCCTTCCTTCTTCAGCCTGATTCACCATTTCCAGCCAATACTGGGGCAACAGAAGGTTTAAATTAGAAAGCATAGAACGTTTTCCCCAAATTTCAGGTTCCTGCCTTTCAAAAGTGCCCGGCATGGCCCTGTCTCAGGGCCTTTGCACTTCCTGTTCCCATCTTGAACACCTTCAGTTCTCCATTTGTCTTCACTTCTGCAATGAAACTGCCCAGTAGGTGAGGAGGCATAAGTCCTGGGCTGACCAGTGTTGGCCCCTCCGTTCAAAGCCACGTAAAAGGATCACATTTTGTTCTGAGCAGTTGTCTACCTGCCTGGGAGAGGGGTGCCCATGCATCAGACAAGCATCGTTCACTCCACAAGTGTAAGGGAGTGGCAACAGGCATGCCCTGATGCGACGACAGCTGAGCAGGGGAGGGGAGAAAAAGAGGCGACGTTCAGTGACGCTCATGCCAAAGAGTAGAGCAATGGGCCGTGACCTTGAAGCAGGGCCCCTTCGATGTGCTAAGTGCTGCTAGGCAGTGGGATAGCTGCTGAAAGAGACAGACAGGCTCCTTACCTGGAGCACTGCTGTGGGAGAAACGGAGACAATAAGCAAGTGAATATAAACACAGTATAATTTCAGGTGGTGTAAAGAATATGAAATAAAAGGAGGTAGAGGGGAGAAAGACAAGTGCAAATGTCCTGAGGTAGGGACGAGTACACTAAATTCAAAGTACCAGCAAAGAGGCCGGTGTGACTGGAGTATGTGAGTCATATCAAGGACAAGGATACAAAGTCAGAAAGAAGGCATGGAGCACGTTATATCAGCTTGGCGGACCTGAGTTGGGTGCAGGAGCTGTGAATTACCATTAAATGGGCTAAGTCCAGGACAGAGAACACAGAGAACTCTGAAAGACTACTACTGAAAACTAACCATTCAATGAGTACTTACTATGTGCCAAGCAATAACCTTATCATCCCCATTTCACAGATGAGAAAATTGAGGCAAATAGTGATTAACCAAGTTGTCCAAGATCACAGAGCTAGTAAGCCGGAGCCAGGAGTAAATCCAGGCAGTATGACTCTCAAACCATGCTCCTATTTGACAATCCTGCTTCTTGGCCATTATGCATAATTCATTCGTGAATTCATTCATCATTCATTCATTCATTCATTCATTCAACACATGTTTACGGAGTATCTCCTATGTGCTAGGCAAGGTAGCAAGGGCCAGGACTATGTGACAAACTAGACAGATGTGATCTCTGCCCCCATCGAGTTCACAGCCAGTGGGAGGGGGATCATAACTGAATGAGCCACTGTAATTGAAAGCAATGGTACAGTAACATGGGAGAGTGATAGTAACAGGGGACTGTGCAGGTACATAGAAGAGGCATCTGGCCCAGAGCATTTGGCTTCTAAGTAAGACCTGACGGACTAGTAGGTGTTCACCAGACAAAGAAGGGGGAGCAGCAAGGCCTTGCAGGCAGAGAGAACAGCTGTGCAAAGGCCTAGCAGAGCCACCTTTTTGGTCCCATGGCTACCTCTGAGCTAAAGCATCCATGCCGTCATGTTAGTGGGGAACAGGAGGCAGGCGAACAGATAACTCCAGAACAGAGCATGGAACGGTGGCAGAGAACAAAAAGAAACCGCTATAACTCATGATATCTCATTCTTCCCTGCCCTGACCAGTTCTGGTCATCCCCAGTGGTTCCCAGCTCAGAGCTGGACACCACCATCCACCCATCTGCGCAGGCCACAGCGGGGAGCTGTCCTGGGCATCATCCTCTTTATCTCCTACACTTACCCCATCCCCCACTCCCACCCACTGTAGTTTTCTAAGCAGCTCTAGAGTTCATCCACTCCTCTGTCCAACCACCACAATCTCTCACTTGGACGATGGCAGTCACCTCCTGTTAGCCATTACTTATTACAACTGATGCTGTTATTCTACGAATACAATGCAACATCTGGTATTACTACTGTAACTATCGCTATAACTACACTACTGCCCGGGTGGTAGCAGGAGAGGGACCTGGATGAGTTCTTCCCTTGTTCGCTTTTGGCACTTTCCATCCTGCCGAACTTTAAGTCCTTTTACTTGTGTCCCCATGTGAAGCTACATACAAACAACCGCACTTCCTCTGAAGGCCCGGAAAGACATTCTAAGTACTCCTTTAGACCTCTGTCTCCACTGCTGTCTCTTCCAGCAGACAAAAAGGTGGTGGAAGTCACATCTGGGCAAGCCTTTGTCACAACAAAATCCTCTGATGGTGCCGACAACCTGCACCATGAGAAGCAGCAGTCCTCCCTGGGAGGCACCCGGACATCCTCCCTAAATATGAGGCGACACTAGGCCATTCCATTAGCGCCCCGAAGGCTGAGGACAAGCTGGAATCGGCGGGAGGAGGGGGGGGATAGAAGGGAGAGATAACAGAGGTGGTGCTGGTGTGGGGGTTGGACCCAGGACCCAGGGCGAGGGTGGGAGGGCAGATGGGTAGGAGCCCAGTGTGGCAGGAGCGGAGCTAATGGGACGAATAAAAGAGGACATCTGTTGAGGTGCCAGATGTGTGAGGGGTGGTCATCAGGAGCTGAGTAATTGGGGCCCGAGAGCCAGGCATGCCACTCTTCACCCTGGGCTGTGCTGAGTACACACTTGAAACCCAGCATTAGGAGACCTCTGGCAGGGCTGCCGTATTATTGGGGCTTTGATGTTTTAATTAGCCAGCAGTAATATTAGATGACTCAAGAGGGGACAAGTGGTTGATTAATATAGCAATCAGGGGCCCTGTGTGGGGGATGCAAATGACTTTTCTGAGTGGGGGCCCAAGTTCAGGATAAAAATGCAATTAGTGGACCTGTGAGTCATTATGCTGGGAACAGGGCATGAGTGGGCTTGGGCGGGCGGCTCTGTGTGTCCTTTTCTGGATTTGTGTCTGAGGGAGCTTTCCAGGTGGCGGGAGACACAGAGTTGATTTCATGGGTTCTGAGGGTGGCCTGCTCCTAGATTTGGAAAGAAGGCTCTGAGTTCCAGGGCATTTCAGAGCTGGATCAGCACCTCTTAGCAGAGGCCTAAAGAAATGAAGGGAAGTGGCCTTGCAGCCCAAGGGGGGACAGCTAGGCAAGGCCACTGTCAGCCTGGGGCTCCAAGCCAGGAGTTCATGCTTGTAGGACTTCTGACACCCTGATTGCCTCTCCTGTCCTTCCTTCCCTTCCTTCTCTCCTTCAGCAAGTACATACGGAGCACCTACTGTGTGCCAGGACTGGTGTTTAGGCTCCTCAGGGTTCCCATTGTCATCCCACAACTGGGAGAAGCACCTATTCTAGTCGGGGTCTGGAAACTCAGGCTCGTAAGCCAAACTGGTTTGCTCCCAGTTTTGGCACAGCCTATAAGCTAAGAATGGCTTTTCCATTTTTAGTTTAAGTGAAAAAATCCAAAAACTAATCCCCCCGATTCCAGCTTGTCCTCAGCCTCCGGGGCGCTAATGGAATGGCCTAGTGTCGCCTCATATTTAGGGAGGATGTCCGGGTGCCTCCCAGGGAGGACTGCTTCTTCTCATGGTGCAGGTTGTCGGCACCATCAGGGGATTTTTTTGTGACAAAGGCTAATATTTTATGTTGCATGTGACTTACATGATGTTCAGATTTCAGTGTCCACAAATAAAGTTTTATTGGCACCCAGCTATACGCACTCATTTCTGTACTGTCTATGGCTGCTTTTGTAATACAATGATAGAGTAGCTGAAGACGAAGATTGTATGCCCACAAAGCCAAAACTCTTTCCCATCTTGTTCTTTATAGGAAAAGTTTGCAGACTCCTGAGCGAAAGCATTCGATTCCACAGGCTGAACTGTAAGCAATTTTACTGTGTCTCCATCTGCCTAAATGCTTTTGTAATCATTTGTTAAAACAACGCCTCACCTGTTACTCTGTGCTGCCTCCCTACTATTACTATGTTTTATTTTCCTTCATAGCACTTACCCCTGCTTGCAATTACTACGAGTGTGTATTTGCATGTGCATGCATTTGTATCTTATACATTTATCTATGTGTCTCTACTAGTAGATAGAGTTTTCTGCCTACCCACTGTTCACTTTGTTCTCTCTCTAGCCCCTAGGCCAGTGCCCAGCATGTACAACGTGTTCAACAAGTATTTGGGGTCAGCTGTAAACTGAATTGTGACCTCCTGAGTTCATTCATTGAAGTCATAACCTCCAGTGTGACTATATTTGGATATGGGGTAGTTAAGAGGTAATTAAGGTTAAATGAGGTCATGAAGGTGGGCCCTTCATCTGATAGGATTGATGCCCTTAAAGGAAGAGGAAGACATACCTCTTTTGCGCATCCCTCCCCTCTCCCCCCCCCCAACACACAAGAAAGGCCATGTATGGACACAGCAAAGGTGGCAGTCTGCAAGCCAGAAAGAAAGCCACACCAAATGTAACCACGCTGCCACCTTGACCTTGGACATCTGGCCTCCAGAACTGTGAGAAGTAACTTTCTGTTGTTTAAGCTACACAGTCCGTGGTATTCTGTTATGGCAGCTCGAACTGACTAATATAAGATCAAACGCATTTCAAAATTGAAGAGTCTGCTTG